CACAAATCAAAAATCTTAGTTGTCTGTGTATTGCTGTTAACAAACATTGAACTAAGAACATCAGGGTAATATATAATTTGTTCCTCTTGGACAAAAAATAATTATAGCCATAGAAAACCATGATTAAATGAAAGATACACTTACCAAAGATAGGATTGTTTGCAGCTTTTCTCTGGCTTTAGAGGATCTAAAGGAACCAATTATGCAGACTGGGGTTCTCTCGCCACAAAGAACATCAAAGTTTGATCGAGAAAGGAATTGTATCTGGCTCTCATCCGAATCAGTGGATGCTTTTTTGGCCTGTCTTGATCCTGCCTTTTTGCTTATTTTTTCAAAACTATCAAGTATATTACTGAGATCATGAACTGCAGATTTTATATCTTTTACGGAAATCCCTGTTTTCAGAATCTGCTTCTCTCCATTAGGTAGCCAACCTATTATGGCCGGGAGCGCATCAACTCCAAGCTTTTTCACTCTTGGATCGGAAACATCATGAACCTGCACATATCAGCCAAAACATTAGATCTCTATTCAAAACAAAAAGAAACAAGAAGCATCGTTTTCCATATAAATTGTTCAATCTTGTCATATCATTTTAGAAAAGTGATCACCATATATATCTTTATTAAGATCAATCAGCCTTCCACAAAAATTCTTAAATTGGATCCCCTTCACCATGCAAGCAGTAGTTAAAACAAAATGTCTGCATACAATTTACTGGGAGCTTTCTGGCCTCTTCCTACTCGCTCAATAGAATTAAATAAAGCAGGACAAAGGGCAAGACCAAACACTACGGGGCAAAATATAGAAACATATAAGGGAGTTTTATAGCCAGCATTAACATACCTGGACATCACTGAAAGTAAAGCGCTTGTGATACAGACCACTAAGAACACGCCAAATTACGGGAGTATCTTTCTTAGCAGACAGAAGCATCACCCCAGGCAACTTTGCAGAAGTTAAAAATTCATCAAGAGAATTCAAGTCAGCTCGCTTTGAAAACCTTGGCAGGTGGTCTTGACAGAAAGCCTTTAAATTCTTAGCAACCAAGTCACCACTGTATTCTACCAAAGAACCCTTTTCATTTCCCTTGTAAGAATAAACAAAAACCCTTGGAAATCTTCGGGGATATGTGCCAAGCTGCTGACACAAAGAGGCCTCCTTTACACAATCAATACTTCCAACCTGTCACATAAAAGAGAAATAAGCCATGAAACTCCAAACAATTATCAAAATAGAAAACAAGAGATAATAATGAATAAACCTTTATAGCTCCTTGCAGTGAACTGTTGACATCCTCTATAATGGATTCAAAGTGTTGGAGCCCCTTCAATGAGGGTGTATACGATAACAAAAGCCAAGTCCTGCCTTGATCAACTATTTCCTTTTTGAAGATTTGGGAATTTATGGTTCCAAAACTTTTACCGGAACTCTTGGGTCCAGATTGAGAACCAGTTGAACCGCCAAAACCACCAAACCGATTCCCACCACCATGTCCTCCACCACCAAAAAAACTACCAAAAAGGTCATCCAAACCAAATCCAAAAGAACTAGGACCACCAGACCCGCCAAAGGAGAAGGAGAATGAATGAGAACCTCCCTGCCCACCCATATCCTGCCATTGTCCGGGTTTGAAGTTAAACTGACTTTGTCCTGGTCCACCACCTGTGAAATAAGTATATCCACCCTGATCCCCAGGATGACCAGCTCCAAATCCAGGATTGCCTTTCTCGTCACCGTACATGTCATAATTCTTCCTTTTCTCTTCATCTGACAAAATCTCATACGCTGTGAAAGGAAAGGGGGAAAAAGAGGCAAGCACGTGAGCATCTCAAATAAGAAATAAAATGAAGCTAGGCATTCAAAATATCATGTCACAGGAAGCAGCGGGTGTATTTGTGCACATGGGGCAGAGGAAGCGAGCAATTTTATTTACCATTATTGATCTGAGAAAACTTCTCCTGTGCACCCTTGCTTTTGTTCTTGTCCGGGTGATACTGCAGAGAGAGCCTACATAACAAAATAAGAGCAATGAACAAAAAATGCTTGTCTAGTCAATGATATCGATTTGCCATTTTAAAGGCAAAACCTCCACATTAAAATTCTTTCCAACATTAAACTAAATCCAGCTTATTTTGGCTGATACTAAACGTAGTGAGCTATACAGATTTAAGATAACATCACTTTAAAAACACATATTAAACATCCACCCTTATTGATGACAATCATAACAACAGTACCGATTTCAATAAGCACTATGAAATATCCTATTCTTCTCCAAGTTTCTTTTTGTGCACTAAAGTAAGCACGTATTAATATTTTGCATGCTTTCTGATGAGTGAATCTTTTGGGTTGGTATATCGATGAAGGTATCCATATTACGCCACTATTTCTATTTTAAAGAAAGCTTGCTTGTATTTGCAGCAATATGAAAGACGCTAACATTTTCATATATGAGCTTTTAGAAAACACTCATCAATGAAGCACAATCAGTTGCAGAAATATAGAGGAGAGTCTTGCTTGTGACAACAAACAATAATTTAGAAGACATACTTGTGGAAAGCCTTCTGAATTTCCCGTTGACTTGCATTTTTATCAACCCCAAGGACCTGGTAAAACCAAATATGTGCAATTTAGTATATGCTCCTGTACAACAATAATTAAATAAGAATTCATAACAAGGAAAAAAAAGTAATTAAAATGCGAGACTATGTTGCCATCTTGCTTGATGATTACTTTTAAAAAAAAAAAAAGAATTTATAAGATAATCCTTAACCGAAAACCTAACTCTTAGAGCATGCTTAGCAGTGGTTTTTGGTTGAGATGAAAATCATGTTCAGGCAAAATATAATTTCTTTTCCTTAACAAATTAAACGCCACATTAATATGCATTATTCAAAAGACCTAAACCTGGTCATGCAAAAGAGCTATTTACATAAAACTAAGCTAGAATTTCCAAGTAAAGACTACTCAAAATTAACCCATTAAAACTGTTTATCTCAGTCAAGCTCACCGCAAGCCGACTTTAAGAACGCGTATCCATCAATCATGCTAGTATAAGAACACATGTTCACTATCTCGCCAATTATCCTTAGACATTCAAACAATAAACCCCAAATTCGACAGCTTTCCACCCCTCAAAATCTAGAATTCACAATCCCCAATCGGGATCAAGCCTCATTACTAAACCGTGATCATTCCATCATCGTTATAGCCGATGTCGACTTCTCCAATCACTTCATCGACGGTAGCATAGTATTCTGCTTCAAGACAACAAGCACTTACCTTGTAAGGATCGATAGTTTTCGCGTGCAAGCTTGCATGAAAACCCATAAAGGTCATAAAGATTATCCATAAACATAAATGCCGGCTCTTCATACTCCAACCAAAGTTTCGCTAATAAGATATTGTTGTCCGAAGAGTGTGAAATTTGAACGAGAGAATTGGATTTGGGTATCGGAAAGATCCTTTTTGTTTTTTTCCGCCTGAAGAACAGAAACGAATATTGAGGTTCGATAAATAGGTTCGCCGTTCGCGGGAACTGCAAATCCAGATGCTTCGAGGTTAAGGCCGTTAAATACACGTGGCAACTTATGGTGCCAACACGCATATTGACCAATCAGATTTTAGGAATTGTCTGATTGGGAGGTAGCGCGCGCGTCGGGGAACATCATGAAACGGCTGCATTAAGTTGCTTTTTTTTTTTTTGGGATAGAGAAAGGGGAGGTTTTTTTTTTTAATAGAGAAAGGGCCGTAAGCCCAAAACATCAAAGTAAAGACATGATCACAACAAAACTCAAAAACTTAGCCCGCCTCCCTCCAAGTCCATGCCTGTCTGTCAAACTCGAAAGCTTCTGCCACTTGTCCAGGCATGTCGGGATCCATTCATCATCACCAACATATTGAAATCAAAGCCCAGGGGATATACCAAGAGAAGTTGAGTCTAGCAGAAAAAGATTAGTTTCTCACAACTTGATGAATCACAATTCGAGTTCTCGTTAAAAGATGTGTAAATGGATGATTTTTGTCATTAAGTGTTTTTAAACATTCTAATCAAGTACTTTTTATCTATATATGAGTTAATTAAAATTAATTATTTTTCTAAAATTTTAAACTTGTTTTTAATAAAATTTAATGATTAGAAGAGTTAGGCTAATTAATTGAATTTTTTTATAATTAATTAAAAAATTAATATTCTAAACAAAAACATATTTTGTTAAAAAATATTTAACGAGTTCTTTTTATTTCTTATTGCAAAAATGATAAAAAGTCCTCTTCATTGGAATGATAAGAAAGAGAACGTAATTCTAACAGTAATATTTCTATGGTTTTACCAGTGTTCAATAAAATTATTGGCCACCAATGGTCTAATGCTAGAACTCTCTTTCAAGTTTTATCATTGTGTGTGTGTGTGTGTCTCCATCAGGGTACACTACGAGTAGGGGTGTGCCTTCCCTCACCTATGGAAAGGGCACGTTTAAATAAATTATCCCTTTCAAAAAAAGGTTTAATCATATCATGTTAATTCTCATAATGTTAAATAACTGTATGTATAGATATAAGTTCATGTTATGTTAAATACACTTCCCGTTCTAAATACAAAAACTTTCTTATAGTGTAATTTACACTAAAAAAAACAGATATATGTATCGATATCATGTTACGTTAAATATCATATATGTACAATAGATACAAGTTTAATCACATCATGTTAATTCATAAAACTTATTCTCCATGGTCTCCCATTGCGGAACCCAGTTACAAAGTGCTAAATAACCAAGTTTTTGTTCGTTTGTTTTTTTTTTCCTCGTTTATTGAAACAAATAGAATTGCTCGGATGCCGAGCATTTTTTCCTGATTATATATATTTGAGGCCTAAAGTAAATAAATTCAGGGCAACTGAGGTTACAGTTATTGTTCTCTTTCACATTACTATTCAGTGACCATTGCCTTGAGCTTCTCGTTTTGTTAATTATGAGGTCCCTTGATAAGCTTAGCTGGGTCTCCATAATGCATTCATATCAGAAACTATTTTCAGCTTCAAAGACCTATCAAAGTATTTTTCCAACACCATGCAGTTAAATAGCGTGCTCAAGCGCGCATGGCATTTGGGTCAACGAATGAACAACTGAATTGTGCATAAAGAAGTTAACATCAGAATCGATGTCTAAACTCTGAACACTATTACTAATAAACTCATATCCAAACAAATACAATTTGGTGAACAATGTACCAAAATTGAGAGGTCATATGGGAGAGGAAAGAAGGAAAGGAAGAGACTCAATCTTGAGACTCCGCACCATTTGTTGCCTCCATGGACTCACCTGCCGGCTCATCTGCCTTGTCACCTTTTTTACCTGCAACCAATTAGCTTAGCAATGTTATTATTCTATTCATATTGATTAGGCAAATGATGAATCTCGGCATGAAGATTCAAGCTTCCAGTCTACCTTTCTTTTTCTTTCCACCACCTTTCTTCTTTGTTTTTGTGCCCAAGGCTAGCCATGCCTTGATTTCAGGATCATCTATTGTCTTTGTGGGCCGCAATTCCTGGAGAGGATGAGAGGTGATACGATCCGATCCATTGGGCATCAGCAAGACTGTGAATTTGATGTGTGCAACAAAATCACCTGAAAATAGTGTGATATTGTGCAATATTAGCAAGCAACACAGAATTCCAATACTTATTGGGATCTAATCATTCAGCTGGCAATTTTACCAGGCTTTTCATGAAGAACAGGATACGGCTGCAAGAGTTCGTGGTTCATACATTCCACCAATCCCAATCGAGCTCTTTTCTCTTCCAAAGCCCTAGCATATGGTAAATAATGTCAAGTGGTGTGAAAGAAATAGATTTAAAATGCAAAAAGTTGAACAGGATAATGAAAACATTATTACCTGGCAGTGAACGGCATAATTGGAAATTTTTGGCTTATTTCACTGAAAATGAACCTAGATGCTTTCATCTTCAAGTGATAATTCTTGTCAACAGCCCTCTTATAGATAGTTGTCTGCTTCTCATCCAGCAGCTTAGGCTGCAAGTGACGTGCGTAAGCTATTCATAAGAGCTGCAGCATTATGCTGTCAAATGAATTAGTAAAAATTTCATACCTTGCCTTCTCCAGTGCTAGCTGCTATATCAATAGCATAAACTTCATTCTCTTCAAACTCTGCATCATCGACCCTTGTTTCTGGATTAGACACACTCAGCACAACCTTATTCCCGTCTATAACAAACTGCTTCATTTGGTGGCTAAGAACACCTTCAACAATTTTACAATCATAAGCAGCAGCAACCTTCTGAATTGCATCAGTCACATCCTTGTTCTGTCAGGCAAAAAGACATTGATTAACAACTCCATCATGAACTGCTGTATCGTTACACTAAGCACAATAATTACTATTAGACAGCTTTTCACAAAAGAGTATAGGTTGAACAAGTGGGAGAGTAATGGCATACTGCAAGCATCAAGTCATTTGATTATGAGATTGAATATCCATATAGCACAGTAGCTACCATAGACAGATGTACTGACAATATGTGTCAGCACAACCATGACATTTTTTAGCCAGTTTCCATTCAGGCAACAGGGAAAGGAGAAAGCTAAAGTGATATCAATTATCACAGCCAATTTGCCATTATTAAAGCTTTAACACATTATATTTATCTTAAATTACATTTAACAACTAGACAATGAAATTCTAAGTTCAAACTATTTTCTTCACATAATTTAAGGGTATTAGTTTGATTGTTATAGCATATTGGCTCCAAGAAACAAGGGTACTGACAATTGACAAGTCAGGACAACCATAAATTTGATTCATCAGCCAAATTTGATCTAGGCACAGGGAAAGGAGGAAACCAATATTGCATTGAAAACCTCGGCAAAGTTGCCATTTAAACTTTTATGATAAAATGCCATATACATTTTGAACATGCACCAGTGAAACCACAAAAGCTGCAACTTATTTCTAAATTAACACAAAACAAATGCCACAAGCAAATCTTCTAGTATTGTGCATTGTAAGGTGTTGGCTGCAAGAAGCAATGATACTGACAATAGACAAATCAGCAAAATCACGAAACAAAATTTGTTCAGCCAATTACAATTTAGGCAACAGGGAAAGGAGGAAACCAATATGGCATCGATAACCTCGGCAAAGTTGCCACTAATAAAACATTTATTCAACTAAAAGTTCATCATTTTAAACCACAAGAGTTGCTACTCAGTCTAAATTAAAACAACTCAAATTCCATGTGTAAATCATTATATATAGAATTGTCTAGTGTAAGATGTTGGCTGCAATAAGCAGTTATACTGATAAAAGACAAATCAGCAGAACCACAAAACTAAATTTTTTTAGCCATTTATAATTTAGGCAACAGGGAAAGGAGGAAACAATATGGTATTGATAGCCTCGGCAAAGTTGCCATCAATGAGACATATCCTTGCAATTAAAGGTACACTGTTTTGAAGTTTGAACTGCAAAAGCTGCAAATTTATTCTAGAATTAATGAAATTGATACACAGACAAACATATAAAGGTAAATCATATCTACAACAAATTCTATCATTTTTGCAACGAGAAAAAGACACTGAATTTGCAATTCTTTTTAACTACCCAAGAAACATAAATATGGAGAAGTGCATCAATAAAAGCCAACAACTGAGCATCTAAACAAAGGATTGCATCGGGCATAACAGATACCCTATCAGAGTAACTATGACATAAGCCGCACTTGGACAATGTCCATAGCTTTTTAGGAGATGTTCATCATATAGGGTCAAAAAGTAATGTTTAGAAGCTTCTAATTCTGTGCGCTCGTATTTATAAAAATTGAGCTTATCTCCATAGGCCATGAAACTCAGATAAAAAAAGGCATGGACCACAGAGTACACTTACCAGACCCCAAAAAAAAAAAAAAAAAAAAAACCCAACATGATATAACTAAAAACTTGAATAAATTGATTTTCCCCACAGGCTGCCTCTGCGCGCTCATATTTATAAGCATTGAGCTTATCTCCATCGGCCATGAAACTAATAGATAAAAACAGGCATGGAGCACAGAGTACACTTGATAGATAAATAAAACTACCAATGAAATATTGATTTTCCCCACAGCCTGCCAAATGCAAGCAAAATCAAAGCAAATACTTCATGAATTTGAAGAATTCATCATAAAGGAATCCTAAGTGCTGGAGGAAAAACCAGGATGACCTCTATCAGTGTAACTATGACAATGAAGCTTCATAGGAGTTTATCCATAGCTCAAGGTAGTTTTTTCATCATTTAGAGATCAAACACTATAGAAAGAACAAGGAGGAAAACTATATCCAGATAATACACATGGAATGACCAGTAGCTAATATTTACAGACAGGAGAGATGGCGGAACAGAGAGAACAGCGTCATAATATTTACAAATACAGTTGCAAGATAAAAGATCGGATACATAATTACCTTTTTCCCTGGTCTTACAAGCCTCAAGGCCACTTCAGCAGCAGTATTAGCAGCTGCAATGGCATCAGCTGCCCTTCCTGTAACCGGCCCTTCCTGAAGAACAAACGTATGTGCCACAACAGCAATAAACCCATCTATATGGCACCCCATGTCGCTACGTTCAACCAAAGAAACCATTAAGATAGAAATAGCAAAAGCTTCGCCCATTCCTTCAATTTTGATAAGAGAAATATGCCTTGGAGTCTTACATTTTCACCATATCACCTTCTTCCAACACTGTCTCATCACTGGCGAGGGGTGAGAAATGACAGACTGTATTGTTCACAGATATGCAAGTTGGGAACGCAACGCCTTTCTCAATCTTCCTCTTCACGTTCTTGTACATGTTACCAGTTTGCCTTCATAAAAAAGGGGGCACATCCCATAAGCTAAAAATCATAGAAAACAAATATAGAGATTATACATTCAGAGACAAATCCAACACTATGTATGCTGCAATATCCAACGGGACGAGCAATAAAAACTTACTCTCTAATGAATGCATCCCCCTTCTCGCATAAGTCTACAATCTTGGCCTTCGGCTTACATTCTGAAACAACTAGTTGCAAAGCCTCTGCAAAGTGTACCCGTCAGTTATCAGTATCAATTTTTTCCAGGAAACAAAAATACACGGAACCGACTACGAAGCTGCATTTTTGCTTAAACAGGTAAACAAAAACAAAATTAGCCCGTGAAGATAGAGAATAGAAACAGAGAATGAGGAACACACTGTTGACGATCTCAGCCGCGCTCTTGTATTTTGTGACGACTTCAGAAGAAGAGAGATCCAGCTCCTTCTCCTCCCTTTCATCATCCGACATGGTATCTCAAATACTGAATCCCTGCAACTTCAGAAAACAAGGAAAAAAGGGGGAAAATCAATCTTTTATCTCGTTGGAATCAGAATCAGGCTATCATAAAAACAAGGAACAATGAAAGCAGGTGAAATGAGGTTTGCAGTGTGAGTCACCTTACAGAGTTAGATTGACGGCGATGTTTATCCTAGTTATTGAGTGAGGAAGGGTGCAAGCAAAGTTGAAAAAAGAGGGAAAGCCGAGAAATTGGTGGCTCGCTCCAACTAGGGTTACAAGTGACTACAGAGCCAACGTTGGCTTATATAGAATTCATCCTTCGAACGCCCAAGAGCTTATCTCAACTCTTTTTTGAAAAAAGTCAACAATTTTTAACACTTCCCCCTCTAGTGCGCTCACCACCAGCCACGTTGGCCTCACCACCAGCCACCAGAGTCCAGGACCAGGTTGGATCATAAGCAGAATATTTGGACATTTCTGTCCTTACCCCATACGTACGAATAATGATCTTGGAAGTTGCATAGAATTTCTGGATTTTCTGTAAATCAATAATTATGTATGAGTATCAATTATAAATATGTGTGTGCACATGTTGATTGACAAAAGTATGGAAAATGATCACTTCCCTGTTGATAAGAAAATATGTCCGTTGGTCACTGATAAAATATGCAATTCAAGACATATTATTATTACGGCAAAAAAAAAATCAAGGCATATTACTTGTGATTACTAGGAATCCTAAAAATTAAAATTATATTCACATGTGAAAATAAGTTATAATTGATCACTTAAAAAATTATTTATCTTTTGTAAAATTAAATTGTGATCCTTCCATATAACTTGATGTTTTCAGCCATTGCCATCTGAAAAATTCCAGCAACATTTGAAACAAATTATATCATAATTATGAGGATTAGGATTAAGGAACAATAAGGGGTGGTTCAGGTGGAAATTAACCATAATTTAAAAAGAATTTACAGCATACGAAATTAATATGTGAGAAGAATTTTATATCGACTTATGTGAAAATACTTTTTAAAAAATATTTTACCCAAACCAAACACCCCCTACGCGTATAATGTACTTTCTGACGGCTGAATTTTATTATTCTAACAAATTTGCATTTAAAGTTTTTGCTTGTGAGACCAATGCAGCGATTTAATTCATTTCATGACCAACAAAATTTCAAATCCAAATTTAACATTTTTAGTCCATTTGTGCCCAGACGTGTTGGGGACTTTTCAATTTTGAGGCCTCAACCAAATTGTAAATGGGCTTAGGGTGTATCCGGGGGGGGGGGGGGAATCTCCTTGAAATATGTGAATCCCAGAAGCATGACCCGAAATGTTGTGTTCTCACTGCAATATCTACTTTTTTTTCCTTCAATTCGTGACGGAGACATGAGGAAGAAGGCCTACTCTATAATTTGTAAATACTAAGATTCGCCACAAAATTTTCTTAAGTTTGGTTCAACACATGTAGAGTTCACAACGTCAAGATAAATAACGTGTCCATTTCTTTTTCTTTTTTTGGTGACCATCTTGTCCATTTCTCTTTCTAATTCAAACTGCACATAAAATGCCACTTCTCAGTTTGGATTAATATAATTTTAGTCATTTAAATTTGTCTTCATTTTTTTTAATAACACTTTCATTTTGTTATTAATCTCTTAAACTTCAAATTATAAGCTTTGATTTTAGAGGTAAAATAGTCTAAATTTTTATTTTTATTAAATTATAAGACTAATATTTTAAAAAAAAAATTGAGAGGATCAAAATCAAAATGAAAATAAATTTAACACACCAAATATTGTATTAACTTGTAAAATTATCCGTGTCGTGGATTTTTATACTGTAGCACTGGTTCTTTTCCAATCATGCCTCAGCAACATGACTTGGGAAATCAATGTAACCAAAGCCGGAAAAAGTTAACGATGTTGGAGAGACAAATCCCACATTCTAAAGTAATAAGAGATATAAAATATTAAAATGCGTATAAGCTTCTAATTATCCCAATCAATCAAATACAAAGTTATTTCAGTGACACGGAAAAGCGCAAAGACGGTACCAAATTAAAGTCAATGAACAACAACAACGACAACAGTGAATAGAGAGCCATAAGGCCCGCGTTGATGAAAGGAAATGGCCGATGGGGAGCTTTCAAATGATGACCAAAGCTAAAACTGATGCAGAACCTGCGAGCAGAGCTATGATAATGAGTGTTAGAATGTGAGGAAGGCGAGTGTTCTGGAGAGGCAGCTGGACAAGAACTGTTCTGATCACCAACGTTAGATGGTAAAGAACAATAATCAGAACCAGAAACATCATCATAAGTTTAACGTGCTGCTTTTTGAACAGAGGGTTCGCTTCTGTGTCTATCGCGTTCTTGGCTGCAAGTAAGGCAATCAACACCGTCGAGAATTTGTCCATGATCTCTCGTAATTCTTTGAAGAGTTTGACCACTTGCTCCCTGAGCATATTCATTCAGAAAATCTTTAGAAATCTCAGACAGAAAGACGGTAAAGATCTAAATTTGTTAAATGAAACTGAAAACAGAGCAACTATGTTCAATGACAGCATCTGTATCTTGCCTATCTGTAGCATAAATATATGTTAAGCAAACACAAGATATTCCTGTTTTCTTCAAGAAAATTCTACGGGAGAAAAAAATCAGTCATCTCATGGAAATGTTGAACATGATTCCTTGCCTATGATGCAGAGAAGCCCAGATTTCAGTCACAATCGCCAAAATGGTTAACGGGAACATAAAACAGAAAGGCATGAGTGAGAGAAGAAGCATGTAAAAGCAGAGGAGGAGGATGAAGAGTGAAAGATGATATAGAAAACACAAATCTCAGTTGCAGTCTCGACAAGATCAACAAGAATAGAAAACGGAGAATGATGGAGTGAGAGAAGAAGCATGTAAAAAAAGAGCACGATGAAATGTATATCAGCTTCTTGCATAGTTTTGTAAATCTGACACTGCGTACCTCATTGAAGCAGAACTAGCAGAAACAAAGGGAATGGCTGGTTCTGGTTTTTGTGTCTGGCAGAATAGAATGAAGACGCTGGAGGCTGCCCCATCTTATAGAAAGAGGGTTGGGTTGGGGGGGGGGGGGGGGGAGTGAAAGGAAGTCCAAGGTGGACGGATTTCTCTGCATTTTCTGAGTGGGGCCTGATTCCGAGTTTCTTTTTTCCTTTTTTTTTGGGGCGGGGGGGTATTAAACGTTTTAAACGCCTCGGGTTTGAAGTTTAATACGTCTCCAGGCGAAACGCTTGCTCCACTCGTCTTTTTTCTTCTTAGGAGGGACGAACCAATGGTATGTTTTGATCTTTGACCATTTAGAATCTCATTCCCACCTGCACGGAGACGTAACACACAAATCAATTCGCAAGCAGATTAAAAATTAAAAAAAAAATCATTTGATGAAATTGGAAAAACTGCCCCAATGGCTTGATAAATTTTTATGGCCATATATATATATTTGATACTCTCCAAAATTTTGTACGCATAGAGCACGACTATTCTAATTTAGCTCCTCTTCATTGATAAAATTGCCAATGGGAGACTTTCCCCAATTTTTTTCAATTATTTTATCTAATTCAATTCGCAATTTTTTTTAATTACTACTTATTCTATGATCCTTAATATGAGAGCCAATTAAAAATTAAATTTGATTCTAAACATAAGATTTTAAAGTCACTTCATTTTTTTAATTTATAATTTTTTTAAAATATTATTATTGATTGTAAGGGTATTCCACCAAGAATAATTAAAGCTGGTATTTTAAAAAAATTAACACAATTTATTATAAATGATCAATTCAACTAATATTTTTAATATTCTTAAATTAGTAACATAACTCTTATATAAACTGTATGAGGCAGTAGCCCTCAATTGAGCTTTCTCCTGAACTAAAATGAGAGATATATAACCATCAAGTCTTGATTTAATGTTGTCGATCGACAATTTTTTTTTTAGTTCTTTTAAAAAAATAATTTATAACTCGCTTCTTTTTAGCATAATTTGATGTTTAAATATTCTTCATTTTGAGGAAGATTCGCTTGAAACAACCTAAGTATTAAGCTCCTCTCACTTCCCCCGGGAGACCGAGAAATCAATGTATTGGTTTGATTGATGTGGTACGTGTCATTCTCTGCTGTGTCACCGAATGAAGCCACCTCCGTGGCAGCGTTCGCCCACCTCTTCTGCCACGTGGCATCATTATAAGGACTAGCGTGTCAACATCCACCTTCGCCTCCTCCATCGTCTCTCCACCATAAAAATCGCACACTTCCTCAATCAACTCGTCACAAAACAGGGAATTCACATCAAATAACTCTTTGCATCAGTCATCTCTCGTACGTGTTACTCAGAAGAAGAAGAAGAAGAAATGTCGTCGTCGCAACAACATCGAGCTGAGCTTGACCAGAGGGCCAGGCAAGGAGAGACCGTCGTCCCCGGCGGCACCGGCGGCAAGAGCCTCGAGGCTCAGGAACACTTAGCTGAAGGCACATATATACATACATAATAATATCCTTCTCCTATATATATTTCTTTGAACAGTAGTTTTGTTTAGTGTATATAACTGAGTAGATTTGGATGTTTAATTATGAAGGGAGGCAGCGAGGAGGGCAGACGAGGAAGGAGCAGCTGGGGACAGAAGGGTTTCAGGAGATGGGACGCAAAGGAGGACTGAGCACCATGGACAGGTCTGGAGGAGAGCGAGCTGAAGAAGAAGGCATCTCCATTGACGACTCCAAGTTCACTACCAGAAACCATAACCAGTAGTAGACAGAAACTTACCATGCACGCATATTTCATATACGTGTATCGTCGGTGATGTTCCTGCTGCGTTTTTATATGGTACTAATAGTTAGTTACTGTTGGAGGTTGTAGGTTGTAGGACTAGTAAGTTTGTGGCTGTTTTTGTTGTACTACTATAGGACATCTTCCGTTGCTGTAATGTTTTAGGGTTAATTTTAGGTTTCGCTTGTGACTTCTGCTATGACCATACGTGTGTGTCTGACGGGAATGGAGACAACGCCTAGCTATGTTGAATACTTGAATACTTCAACCTGCTCCTTCAGACAGGCATAGTGCGTGTCTTTATTTTCATGTAATGTTTATGTAAGCTAACTTTCGAATAATCCTATTTTGTTTGTTTTGGTTGGTACTGTATAATCCCCTCTGGCTATATTCTCTCTGTATCTCTCTACTCTTATTAAGTTATTATGCGACTTTTTTTTTTAATATTCAAAAATTATGGGTTACGTTGTACTTGTTTTGGGAACAATCTGAGCTCCTCCTACTTTACTGAATGACCTTTTTCCAGTTTGCTGATGATATAACATTTACCGTATTTGTATCCTTAATAATCAGTATATGCAAGACTCTGAAAAGACGAACCCAACTAGCATGAATGTTTCTTTCTTCCTTCCTTTCTTTTTTGAATGTAAGAGAAATAACATTAATGAACCAAAATTGATAACAAGACTAGTTAGTTTTTAAATATGCCCAGGTATTTCTAGCTAAATATAATTTCAATATATATCATTAAATAAGAATAATTTAAGAAAGTAAATACATATTTATTATCATACCATGCATATTTGTATCCTTAATCAGTATATACAAGACACTGGTAAGACGAACACAACTAGCTTGAATGTTTCTTTCTTTCTTGAATGTAAGAGAAATAACATCGATGAACCAAAATTGATAATGATGCTAGTTAGTTTTTAAATACACCTAATTAATATATTCTTAAAAATATTTCTATTAATATGAGGTATTTCCATCTAAATATAATTTCAACATATAAGTAAGAATAATTTGAAAAAATAAACACGTATTTATTATAAATAACTAGTTTAACTAATTTTTTAATTTTTTAAAATTAGTTATCTAACTTTTATTCTTATGAGCCTGTTTGGATAACAGGTCAAACCATAGTTTAGAAACCGAAACTATGGTTTGGAAAAAAAATCACCCAAACAGGCGCAAGTTATCTGAAACCATGTTTGGGTCAAAACCATGGTTTTGGAACCTAAAACCATAGTTTCAGGAGAAGTAAATTTATTCTGCTTCTGGTTCAAATTGGAGAGTATGATTATGTCTATTAGAGTAAATCTCAACAATAATATGACTTTAACACCCCTTAATTAATTTTTTATAAACATATTTAATCTTTTATCTTATAAATAAATATACACATAATAATTATTTATTAATTACATTATCTTATGAGTTATTAATTATGTTGGTAAAAAATATATTATTAACAATTTTATTCCTTCAAATTAAAATATACTCCCTCCGTTCCTTATTATAAGAGACATTTGATGCTTATGGCATGTTCCTATATATAAGAGACACTTACAAGTTGTCTCTACTTTTTTGTGTTGATTTACTATTTTACCCATATTTATTATCTCCAACTCACACACTCTCTCTCTCTCCCTCCCACTTCTCTTTCTTTTAATAATTTAATTGTTCTCTCTCATGCTCTCTCTCCTTATTAATGAGGGCATTTTTGGAAAAAAATTATACTTTTTACACATTAATTGTTTTTAACTAATTTTAACTGTTTTTTTGATCAACGTACTTCGGTTATTTGTCTCTTATAATAAGGAACGGAGGGAGTATCATACAATCTATGTTTTATGTAATTATCATATTAACTTATGTTTTTTTTAATAATTCGTACATATAAAAAGTGTTTTTGATAACAACTATCCAAACACTCTCACTTCTTAGAATCACTTTTTCACAAAATTTATTTTTTTCAGAATCTATTTTTCAGAAACTATTCTCCAAACTATGATTTGGTTTCATCCAAATACTCTTTATATTAAGGATGGGAGGCAATATAAAGCCCTGCTTTTATTTCGCCCTATCTCCAACGCAACTTTCGATGGACCAGCCAATAAATGTAGAAATTGGAATTGGGTTTAAAAGATTTATTAAAGCATTTGGATCCGATCTCATTAAGCTATTGGCCGATTTTCTCTCCTGCTAATTAATGAATTAAAGGCCAGTACAACTTTTTTGTATTTCTTGAATTAGTAGACCAATATATATAAGCTACTGCTTCCTAGCTCTCCTCCTTTCTATAGTACTACTGCCTTGGGTCTCAAATATAATACATTTACTGGAGCTTTTTGGTGGTCTAAATGTAAATCATTCTTGCGATCATCAAAAGAATTTCACCCAAAAAAAAAAAACTCCTCATTATATTTAGGACTTAACGAGAGTTAATACAAACTTTAGTCGTTTAAGTTTACTCTTATTTTGATTCTGGTCCTTTAAGTTTTAAACTATAAGTTTTGGTCCTTCTCAAGTTTCTTTTTATTTAAAATATTGAATATTAGTTCGTATTTGTATCCTTAATAATCAGTATATGCAAGACTGTGAAAAGACGAACACAACTAGCATGAAGGTTTCTTTCTTCCTTTCTTTCTTTTTTGAATGTAAGAGAAATAACATTAATGAACCAAAATTGATAACAATACCAGTTAGTTTTTAAATATGCCCAGGTATTTCTAGCTAAATATAATTTCAATATATATCATTAAATAAGAATAATTTAAGAAAGTAAATACATATTTATTATCATACCATATTTGTATCCTTAATCAGTATATACAAGACTGAGAAAAGACGAAACGAACACAACTAGCTTGAATGTTTCTTTCTTTCTTTCTTTTTTGAATGTAAGAGAAATAACATCAATGAACCAAAATTGATAATAATGCTAGTTAGTTTTTAAATACACCTAATTCATTTTGTCTCATAATTTTATAATATATTCTTAAAAATATTTCTATTAATATGAGGTATTTCCATCTAAATATATAAGAATAATTTGAAAAAATAAACACGCATTTATTATAAATAACTAGTTTAATAATTAATTTTTTAATTTTATAAAATTAGTTATCTAACTCTTATTCTTGTATTAAGGATGGGAGGTAATATAAAGCCCTGCTTTTATTTCGCCCTAGCTGTAATTGTTGTCTCCAACGTAACTTTCGATGGACCAGCCAATAAATGTAGAAATTGGAATTGGGTTTAAAAGATTTATTAAAGCATTTGGATCCGATCTCATCAAGCTATTGGCCGATTTTCTCTCCTGCTAATTAATGAATTAAAGGCCAGTGCAACTTTTTTGTATTTCTTGAATTAGTAGACCAACACATATAAGCTACTGCTTCCTAGCTCTCCTCCTTTCTATAGCATTACTGCCTTGGGTCTCAAATATAATACATTTACTGGAGCTTTTTGGTGGTCTAAATGTAAATCATTCTTGGGATCATCAAAAGAATTTCACCCAAAAAAAAAAAACTCCTCATTACAAGAGTTAATACAAACTTTAGTCTTTTAAGTTTATTCTTATTTTGGTTTTGGTCCTTTAAGTTTTAAACTATAAGTTTTGGTCCTTCTCAAGTTTCTTTTTATTTAAAATATTGAATATTAGTTCATATAGTCTAATAAAGGCTTAGACCATTTTACCTCTTAAAGGACCAAAATTTATAGTCTGAAACTTGAAAGATTAAAACCAAAATAAGGACAAATTTGACGGACCAAATATTATATTAACCCATTTAATAATTAAGATTAAATATAGAAAGCCATATCTTGTCACAAATTTAATAAGCTTAACAAATTTTATTGGGGCGTGCGTGTGTGTAGACGTAGCTAGTTATTGGTACTAAGATTATATCGGTGGTAATAGTTAATAAACCATGTGGTCGAATCTTGTAGCTACTTTTATTGTCGTCGTTTCTCTTAATTTAGACTATTTGTCGTGATGTGCCGTTGAAGAATCCCCCTCCATGCCCAGTTCTCCCTGCTTCCGGAGGCGAGGTTTCATGTTCGGAGGGAGAATATAATTAAGATAAAAGATTATAAAAGAGATGCATATTGTTATGGCCACTCTTTATAATCAAAGGTTAACAGAAATAATTGCAAGATAGATCAGCGGCTATAATACTTATATATATATATATATTTTTTTTGCAACCAGTCTTGCAATTATAATACTACCTCCGGTCCTAATTATAAAACCCAGTTGACTTATTTGAGGAGATTAAGGAAGTAAGTTAAGTTAGTTATTTGTAATTAATAAGTGTTGTCATTCCCAAAATATCCTTGCTAATTAAGTGTATTGGCTAGAACTATCATTATTAAAAGGACTATCTTGGAAAAAAATGCATAAATATGAGAGACAAAATGGATTGAGGTCTTATAATTAGGACCAAACAAAAAGTCAAATGGGGTCTTATATTAAGGACCAGAGGTAGTACTAAAGAGATGAAGAAGCATTACAGATGAGATAAGAAGCTACAAAAGCTATAGGAAGGGAATAAGAAAGGCAGAAACTCCATAGTCACGGTGACAATTGCCGGAGGGAAGAAAGGAGAATGACAGAGAGGAATCACCACAATAATCTTCACTGCCGTAAGCCCCCACTTTCCACCATCTAAGCACCACTTTCCACGATTCAAATTTAAGCACCCTATTCCACTCCTAATAAACCCGATTACTGTATCTTGTGGTCCATTAGTCTCAGGTTCACAGTCAGCCCATTTTATGTGGAGCCCATTCATTACACATATTTTGTTCTGCTTTTCGGGCTGTGGAGAGAGAATACAATGTGTGTGTCTCTGTGACTAAGGGAAGGTGGATGAAAGCTTCGGCCCACCCCATGCTTTTGAAATTTTGAACGCAGTCAAGCTTTTTATTATTATTATTTCAGTTTAAAATAATAATAATAATATTATTATTATTATTCCTACTGCTACTATAAAATTACATCCAAATGCTTCATTGAAGTGTAAACTTAATTCTCTAAGTTTACACAAAATTTTAATTTTGTCCTTTAAATTTATGAACTATATTTTTAGCCTCTTGATTTTACCAATACTAGTTTTGTTTACAAAAAAATGCTGACTCAATGAATTTAAATAATAGTAATTCTGTAGCTAAACACGTGAAAAAGAATGCTTAAATTTTAAAATAAAAAATGATTATATTAATAAATTAAGACTTAGAGCATGTTTCTTCAACATTTAATTACATAGTTAACATTTAAATTTGTTGAGACAGCAAGTAAACGGTGTTAAAAACATACTTCATAAAGTTAAAAATTAAAAAATTAAAGTGGAAATTGATCTAAACTTAGAAGATCAAACATATAACTTACCCTAAATACTTCTATTAAAAATCGCCTTTTTTAACCATGTATTAAAAATGGCCTTGATATATATGGCGAGGTTTCTGTTCATCTGTCTTTAATTGAAAAAAATATACTCCTCCGGTCCTTAATATATGACACAATTTTTGAGTTGATTTTGGTCTTAAATATAAGATCCATTTCTTATATTTATCAATTTTTTCTAAATTACTCCTACGGATACTTCCTCAGCCATAACCAAGTAGAAGAAGGAGAGGGAGTATTAAGAAAGATGATTATGATGTTTCAGAAAAAATGTGTCATTTTTTTTATAATTAACTAACTTACCTAACTTCTTTAATCTGATCAAATTAGTTAAATGGGTCTTATATTAAAGATTGAAGAAGTACCAACTCAGGAGAAAACAAATTCATATCCTATGTATTAAAAGTTTTTTTTTCCTTTCTCAGTTTTGGCCTCCATTTAATTTTACACTATTTTAATTATTAACTGCCTCTATTGATCTCATGCATCCATCTAAAAATAAAATTATTGGAAACAAATAATAGCTATACGTTGAAAATTTGGTCTGGGACATATATTTAAAAATAAAATGAGAATCTAAATTAGCACCATATAACAAGAAGGAAGCAAGTATATATAAAATCTTTTAAAGCTTATAATAATGTTGATTCATGTTGCTCAGTCGTCCATTCATGGGTGAGTCATAAAAGAATCTGCATACAAAAATATTATCAAACATTATCAAACATGCTCATTTACAATATCGCAATCTAAAAGGTTAGTTTATCAGATGATCTTATGTAGAATGTTAATTTACCAACGTACGCATTTTTAATTGGAATGATCCGCCGAACGTCAATAGAACAAGCCTTACCCAAATTTACAACTTCACTGAGAAACTAATGCTAAGAAGATAAGAAAAACAGATCGGCCCCACCGCGACCGCTTCAAGTTACCACATGGTACGTGTCATTCTGAAAACCTACGTGTCCTCGTCCACATTACACGTGTCATTGCATCGTTGCTTTTACTGTAGTTTAATGAGCTGCTGTCACTTGCGGGTTAATTCTTCTACTGTTTACCTGCCCCTCAAAAAGTCATCGGTTGATTATATCCATCCATAGGAGCATCAAATCTCTATAAATCATGAACCCTTTGTGTTTGAGCAGTGTGCAACTTGATCAATCAGTTTCGTTCTTCTCCTATATTATTCCGATCCAATTGAGAATCTCAAACACCTGAGGGTGAGGAACATGGCTTCACAGCAGCAAGACAGAGAAGAGCTTGATCAGAGGGCTAAGCACGGAGAGACGGTTGTCCCTGGTGGCACTGGAGGCAAGAGTCTTGAAGCTCAAGAACACCTAGCTGAAGGCAACTCTCTCTTCATCTCTCCACGTTTCTTCGGATAAATTAAAAAGGGTTTTGTACGCGCTTTAATTTTAGAGCACTTTTGGTCATATTAATAGGCTATTAATAACACGTTCCTTGCTTGGTGATTTTGTATAAATGGCCAGAGATTTTCATATATAGCCAATATATACGTATTAGCCATTCTCTGAACATGATAATCAAGAGGGTTTGGGCCATTTTGTGAAACACAATAAGGATATATGCCATGTTCACATGCCAATTATTATCAGACTCATACAAGTAGTCTTTCTCATGTTCAGCATATATAAGATCATGTGTGCTTGTACTGCTTCCTCTATATTTCCAGTCTGTATAAGAAGATTAATGTGCATGAAGTGTCTGATATTACTGATAAGAGAAGAGGAAATGCAGGAAGGAGCAGGGGAGGACAGAGAAGGAAGGAGCAGCTAGGGAAAGAAGGGTACCAAGAATTGGGAAGCAAAGGAGGGCAAACAAGGAAGGAACAAATAGGGAGTGAAGGGTACCACGAGATGGGCAAGAAGGGTGGTCTCAGCACCATGGAACAGTCTGGGGAAGAACGAGCTCGAGAAGAAGGCATTCACATCGACGAGTCCAAGTATAAGACAAGAAGCACCGCATGAGGTTCGCATCATCATCTCCCCCTTTCTATCTTGGCTCAGACCAGATCCACTGCAATCTTAGTCTTAGTTATATGTGTGTATTAAGTTTTCACTTTGTCTACTTATTAGGAGCCTGGCTGCATAAAATATGTACTTCTGCAGCTGCTATGTAGCAGTAGCAGTATATGGTAGTAGTTAAGTGTGTTTCAGATCCACCTTAAGGTTTACGAGGTTTTGTGCATGTCGTTCATAATGATAACTTTCTCTTATGTGTTTAACATGTTCTTTATTTCCGTTAAGTTTGTGTGACTAGGACTTTCAACATAATGAAAAATTAATTTTTGTAAGTGAATAATAATGAAAAACAAATGTCCGGACCAAAAAAGAATTGTAGGAAATCAAGGTGAGTTTATCATAGTCTTCTTTAGTAAATTGGTGAGTTTGTTCAATTAAAAAAAAAAAAACGAAAACGTCAGTTTGTAATTAACGTGCTCTGTTTATTTGTAAGAATATAAATAAATATTTTTAAATTGTTGGAGATATTAAACTTTATTCTGTTAAGACATCATCTTAGTTAAGACCACAATTAGTTATTCGAAGATACTATATATGAAGCTATGGAGCTTTGTAGTATATGTATTGAATTAAGTGTGTGAAGTATGGTTGAAACTTAGCTAGAATTAACACAAGTCTCTTCATGACTCCCTAAAGGGTTTTGGGTTTTGTCGGTTAATTACCCTTAACAAAGTTTGCTGTGTATTTTATTAATTAATAAAGTTCTATTGTCTTTTTGCTTTCCCTTGTATTTTTCATTGGGCCAAAAACAATGAACTTTAACTCATTGAGTTTTTGTTAGAACGCATAAAGCCCAATCTTGAAGCAAGTTGCTTCTTGTTGCTTTTTGGGCCAACGAACCATTTTTTCCGCCACCGCGACGCCATAAGCATTCTCTTCCATCCTAAATCAATAAATGAATTAACTGAAGGATGGTGGAGTCCCCATCATCACCAAAAGGTGCATATTATTAGCTAAAAAGTCCTACTCGTTTAAGTATGAAGTATTGAGAATGAGAGATAAGAATTGAGATTGATATCGAAAAAAATCAGTATATTTAGTATAAATAATTTCTTATTACATAGGATTAGACAATTCTATGTAGATGGGATTGGGAGAATACCACCTTACCCTATAATATTTCTCTATCGACTTACCTAATCCCAAGTAACAAACAGTTTCTAATACTATACATTTTTTTAATATAGTTTTCAATTTCAATCACAATCTTTGTCTTCATTTTTAATGTTTCGTATTAAATTTACCAAAGATTTTTTATAGTTTAATTTATTGGTCACCCTTTAATAGGAATCAATGTCTTTTTTGTTGTTTAATGAAGTTCCATCATCGTCATCTTTTTGTTCTCCTTAACATAAATGCAATGAAAATAATTTTCTACCATCATGAATTTTAAAATAGTTAAAATTTGTGTATTTTAACCTGTAAAGCGTAAGCCATGCTTAATGTCAACCGCATGAATTAAAAAAGTCCAGTTGTTTTTTTTTTTGGGGTAATAATATATGTTCTTGGTGTGTTGAGACGATTGAGGGTGTCCTCTGTTTCCTAAAGGCGCACTAGAGGCTGGGAAGCGTTAAACACATTGGAGGAAAAGCCGCTCACAAGGAAAAGGAAAGAAGCCAAAGAAGAAAACAAATAAAATCGCACAAAAAGTAAGAAAATTAAGACAAATAAGCAAAAGCGACCTGCAATATGGCATTATTGGACATGTCTCTGTGAAACCTATACTCCCTCGTTCCTTTTTTACAAGACCAACAATCACCTATGGCTTATTTTTATTTACGAGAGATACTTGGATGTCTCAAATTTTATCTTTAGCATTTTCTCATTTTGGCTCCATTTAATTTCTCATTTTAGTATTAATACTGGAAATATACTCGCATTCTGTTTTCGTCACACATTGTTCTTCTTTCACTATCTTTTCCATTTTAATAATTTTCTTATTTTGTCTCTTATTATACTCTCCCTCTCTTTGTAACTAGGGATATTTTTAAAGAAAAATTATAATTATTACATATTTATTTTTTCTAATTAATTTTAACCCTTTTTTTTATCAACATCATTTAGTGACATATATCTTATTAAAAAAAAAAAAAAGAGCAGTAATTCAAAAGAAGCAACCCTTACCCTATATTTGGTATGAGGAATATGGAAGGAAAGGGTGGAGAGGAAAAAAATTTACTTTAAATAAAAAAATGTAAAACAAAAAAAATAATTAATTTAAAACTTCCAACCCCACCTTATCAATCTTTTCTCTTTTCCCTGACTTTTGCTTTTCCTTATCTCAAACGGATCCTTAAGCAAGCCTGAAACGCACGCTAAGCACATGAAACTTGAATTGAGAAAAACTTAATCCACGGCACAAGTAAAGCTGGAGCGAATTATCAAAAGAGCAAAAGAAGGAGACAGGTTGCTCAGATACACTCCCTAAAGTGTTCACCCTATTACCATAGCAGAATAACTTTTAGTCTAAAAACGAGTTAACGTCATTGTTGCTTTTTATTGTTTGATCGAATTTTGCTTTTAGTTCACATAGTTTCAAATCTTAGTTTTTAGTTCAGATGATTTCACAAGAATTTGGTCTGATTTAACATTGTTAAGCATAAACGAAAACCAAATCTGATTAAAAGTACAATGACTCAAATCAAAGACTCTAAATTCTTGCGAAACTATAATTACTATTTTTTTGTCTTCAGAGTTTTTCCTTCTTGTATTCTTATATTTTTCTTCCCATCCGACCTAAGAACAAAACGCGCCGACATTGCAGCTCTTTTTTCCTTCTTCAGCGCATCGTGCGTTGAAGCAATCCAGTTTCTTCTTCCTTAAACCTCCAACCTGCCTTTTGCATTGATCTCCAGTCAATATCGATAACATGCTATTGGGAACCCTAAGAATCATATTAACGGAGTTGATTAGAAGAAACGCGTATGAAGTCCGCAAAATATATTTCTTAATCAATACCTTGCCTTGATTTTATATAATTCATTTAAGAATTTTAAAGTACTTTCTTCAAGCTCATCATTTTAAATTGTTTTCCTTAGAAAAACACTATAACTTGATGTACTACTTATTGAAATTATGTTTTGTTGCACATGCCAACTATTTGATTTATCCGCGCTTCGTGTGGGAGGAAAAATCTAGTTTAGCATGTTCTTCTTGGGGACCAAAATCTAGTTCAGTAAATAATTCTAAATCTAATCTTTTTATTAGATTACGATCTCAGGGAGTTTGATTTTGAATAAGATCATATAGCAATAATTTTGATTGGTGAACGATTATATTTGTAAATTGTGGAGTAATAATTTTGGCATATATCAATAGTAACTCAATAATATTAATATTTTAACGTTTTTGGTACTCCTTCAGTTTTTAATATGCAACCTAATCAATGGCTAATGATATTAAACGTGAAACATTAAAAAGGAAAACGGGCCAAAAAAAAAAAGAGGACCTCGGACTTTTCAAAATGTGGTCTTTATCGTATATGCTTCTCAGTTCTCATCATTCGGCCACAAAAAAGGGCAAAAAAGTTAGAGATGCTGCTCATTAATTGCAGCTTTCTTTACTATGACGCCCCCTGGAAAAATTAAATAAGAGCAACTTGAAGATCTTTTCCTCGCGTAAGCAACTTGAAGACTTTATTCAGAGTACTACATATTCTTTGTATTTATGACGTTTAATTTACTATGACATCCCTTGAAAAATTAAAGAGGTGTTTGGATGGATTTAAAACCATGATTTTAAAAATATTTTTACAGGATACAGAATAAATATGTGAAAGAGATTGTCTCGTTTTGCGGAAAAGTATTTCTGGGTGATTCCAAACACCCTTTAGATTAGAGCAACTTGAGGATCTTTTTCTGGTGTAAGCAACTTGAAGACTTTATTCAGAGTACTACATATTCTTTGTATTTATGACGTTTAATTTAAAGCAAAGACTTGAGGAAGAAAATGAGTGGTTCACAAACTCCTGCTTTTCCAACCAAAGATGATAAAAGAATCAGAGGGGACAGAGGATATGCCTTATACTGATCAGTAATTAAAATAAGCCACGTTAATCTCTTCTTTATTCCTACTCTATGCAGAAGCAATAATTCAGCGTGAGATGAGGAAGTTTTTGTTTAATTTGTTTGTTTCTTTTTCTCTTTTTTGTACGGTTTATTGGATGTTGGATGTGACGTGACATAGCTATGTAAATGATGTGATTATGAATGAGGCAATCTTCATTAATTATATAAGATTCAAATTAAATCTTATAGATCTGTTTGACAAAAGGACTGATAGTATTGAAAACATCAGAGAGAATGGAAATGAAACTAGGAATCCAACTTACACTTGGATTATAATCAATTTTTGAGTTGAATAGTGAAAGCACATTATTCGGATGCATTGAGAGTCATATGTTTAGGATATAATGGAATACAACGGTCATTAATTAATAAAATAGTAACAGAACACAACAGTATAGTATGAAGCCGTATGGAATGGAATATAGATAACTTTCCATTGTTTAATTGGGAGTTTTATGAGGGGAAGGAATTGTATCATATGACCATTGTTTGAGAATTATTATAAAATAAGTGCGGCGGGAATGGATTAAAACTAGACTTTGTGAAAAAAAAGTGTACCTGAATGAAATTTTTTTTTTGGGGGTATAAGTAGGAGAATTCTCAAGTTATTTTAAATCTGAGACTAATTTTGATCGAATTGGTAGCATTAATGTTAAGTTTAATGTTAAGTCCTCCCAACAAGGGCACTTCTCATCTTAACCAATAACTTGTTGGTGTACATAATGGAATTTTTATTTTGTTATCTTGCTCATTCTACGTAACCATTTGGTAAAAATATATCCTCCTTTGACAACAACAAATAATAACATTTCGTTTGTAAAATCCATAGACTGTTGCCTTTCCTTTTAGCTCACAAGTTTAAGAACGCTTGAGGACTCATTCCTATCATATCATGACACCTAGTACTCCCGAGGCACATTCATTAGCTCATCTCGTGCTCGATCTCTCTTTTTTCTTATAATTTTAAAAATTATTTGATTTCTTTTGCAATGTTTTTGGTATCATATCATATCATTTTATTTATAATATCATGTTTTTTGTTGGTTTGGCATGTGTTGGGACTTGGGATTGGGTTTTCACAAAAAAAATAAAATTATTTATTGGAATGAAAAAGGAACAAGAATGGGATGCGGGAAGCGAGAGAAACAGCATTATATGGCGCGCGGAAGAGTGAATATTAATAACAAGTGGGGATGGATGATAGATTGGGATAATTAGTGATAATTTTCTAATTGCTAATTGAAATTTCGAGAAATAATACTGAGCAACCCTGAAATTAAAAAAGAGAAAGGTTGAGTTTAAGCTCTCAAATGACATGTAAGGGTATGTTTGTTGAAGTAATAATCGTGGTAATAATACTCTAGATATAGGATGCCTTTGATCCTTAATATAAAGCTAATTAAAAATTAAATTTGGTTCTGAATATAAGATCTTAGTCTATTTTGTTTCTTAAATTTATAATGTTTTATCTAAAATATCCCTATTAATTGTAAGGAGTTCATACCAAGGAATAATTCTAATGCATATAATTAAGGAGAGTAATTTAAGAAAGCCAATACATTTGTTACAATCAACCAACTTAATTAATTTTTCTTAATTTTTTAAAATTAGTTATCTAACTCTTATATTAAGAACCAAATTAAAGATAATATGCATAAGAGTGATGGAGGGAAATAGAATTTTTTTTTACCTGGGCATAAATGAAATTGGGAGAATTGCAATAAAGTTTTGAAGAAAAAACATAATTACTAAAAAATTCACATTGACAATTGAGCATATTAAAATGATAAGTTTTAGAGTTGGAAATGACAACTTCTAACTTATTATTAAAAATTTTTGATAGTTAACTTCTTTCTTTTAAACCTCATTGTAATTCTCCCTGTGAAATTCTTTGTTGGTAGGAGGGACGAGAAATAAGAATTTTCAATGTTAAAAAAAGAAAAGAAGACGACCATGGACTTTTCAAAATGTGGTCTTCAGATATGTTATATTATTGTAGCTTTCTTTTTTCCGGCACATTATTAGTTAGACATTAGTATCAGGGTACCAACACCATATACCTTGCTTCTTTTTATGGCGTTTAAAGTTAAAGACTTGAGGAAGAAGACTGATTTGCAAACTCCCCGCCGGCTTTTCACATAGATGATGAAAGAGAAGTGCCAAACATTAATTTCTTGCCCATCATAGAAACATGCATTCCTTTCCTAAATCGTCGGTGGCTACCGGAGAAATCAAACTGGTCATTGAACATATGGTTGAATCAAATTGGAGTCAATTCAAGATAAGACTATTTATCATTATGCAATATAATTCAAATAAAACATACAATAATATTTATACATAATCCACCGAACCATAATTACCAAAAGACACCAATATGATAAACTGCTACTTTATTTTAACTTAAAGCAATCTTATTTCAGATTAAGCAAGAATACAAAAACAAATATAAAATCTAATCGGGTCAAGATGTGTAAATTTATTCTGAAAGTTTTTATTTACGAGGGATGGGCACCTAAATAGTTTTTATTGTGCAAATTTACTCCAAAAGTTTAAAAATCATATCAATGTTGCCTTTCTATAGTTAAAAATTTAACGTTTACCGTTAACATTTTTGGTGGTGAGGGCAACACTGTTACAATATTAAATTTGTGAAGCAAAAAAACAACTCTTGAAGTCTTGGACGAAAAAAACTTCTGAGTGCCTAACATCCCTAAATAAAATTTTTTGAGTGAATTTGCACTTTAACCCAACAATCCATCCAAAACTCTTGACGTCATGACCTGCTGAAGACAGGTTCACTGGTTTAATTTACTAGTGGACGGCTGGAATTGGGTCTCAATATCCTGAGGAGATGCGCTTTCCCTGTAATCTGAAGGTTGTAGATGAATCAGTCTATCCTTTCCACCGAATTTTCGAGCCACGGTTTTTCTGCGGCTGGTTACAATGGCAGCACCGCCCTTCATTTTCTTCAATCTGCTTAAGAAATGATCAGCAAACCAATCGCTACAGTGCCACATGTCATCCAACACTAAAATGTAATTCTCGGAGTTCCGCAATTGACGCACTAGTTCCTCCATGAGCCCGTCCTTATTTTCATCGAAACTGCCCACCACGCTATCAGTATCTAAGCCCAAACGATACAGCAAATACTCAACAACCCTGACATCTATCTCTTCCTCGCAGCTTATAAAATCCGATAGGGGAGCCCAAATGATACGCTTGAATTTGTCTGTAACGGCTTTTTGTTCCAAAACGTTTTTAATAAGCGCCGTCTTGCCCGAACCACTCATCCCACAAATCCCGACGGCCGTGAAGTCATCCCCCGGCGTCAGGAGCCAACCAATCATTTTCTTTTCGAGTTCATTGGAAAACTTGTCGACCTCAATGTAAGGAGTTCGAACGGGTGAGTAGGATGGATTCTGATCATCGGCCGGCAGAGAATTGGGTTGGTTCGATTTGACGGAGATCGAAGAATCTTCCCGGGGAAATATCGATGTTTCGATGTCGTGGAGTCTACCGTTGATAGCTGAGCGCTCTCTGAAGCGAGCCACCCGATCATGGCAGAAGAAAATCCTCCTGATCGACTTGTTCTGCTCCTTGAGGATCCGCCACTCGGTGAGGGCGTCGTTCAGATCGGAAAGACATGAAATCTTTTCAGGGATGCTTAACGCCGTACTATGAGACTTCAACTTCTCACTGATGTCTTTGAACCTGGCAAAGATTGCATCCGATGATTGTGAATCGTCTTCATCGATGGAATCTGTGTATTGTTTCATCAGAAATTTGGCAACCTCGGATGCCATGTGGACAAGAATAACAAGTACCGAACCGGGCAGTTTCCAGACGAAGAAGCTTGTATATATGAAGCTATAAACCAACAAGGGAAACAAAGAATTATGTTGATCCATCCCATTATCACTTTATCGGTAGTTGATCGTTTAATTGAGGTCATTATTAGTTGTTTAATAAATTGCACTTAATGCAGCAGTTTGTGTGTTAGATCGATCGTGTAATATATGAAAAATAAATTTAGATTTTGTATAAATTAAAAAAAGGGAAAATTGCACTAAGGTCGCACCCAAGGGCATTAAATACAAAAAGGGTTCTTGAAATTATTAAATTATTCTAAAGTTTCAAGGAACTTGATTACAAAAAATTTTATTTTTTTAATTACAAAATTGTCCTTTTTTTTAAAGTTTACATTGACAATTTAAAAAGCAGTCGTTGACAATTTAAAATGTAAGGATTAATATTATCACTGCAAATATTGATAACATATTTTTTTAGCACATCATAAAATGTAATGTATGAGTTGTTAATTTTTATTTGTAATAATTGTTAATCCTTACATCTTAAATTGTCAACTACTGCTCTTTCAGTTGTCAATATATTTTTTTTTTTAAAAAAGGACACTTTGATAATTAAACAAATGAATTCTCTTGTAATGAGGTCCTTTGAAACTTAAGAATAATCTGATGATTTCAAGGAACCTTTTGTATGTAATCCTCTTAGGTGGGATTTTGTTGCAATTTTCTCATTAAAAAAATAGAGAGATACTCATACACATGTAAACTTTATACACGCACACACGACAGTTTAACATAAGATAATGAATGATATAAAAAAATTAAATTTTAAATAAGTAATACAAAAATAATACAAAGGATATTATCTATTCATATTAATCAAACCGAGTTAAAAAAGAAAAGTTATATTTCCTATTCGCTGGTCAAAAAAAGTTATATTTTCTATTCATCAACGCCTCCCGCAAATTGGATATACATCCAAATCGTGCTTGTCACTTTTCGTCTTCATTTTCTTTTAATTATTGAAATCCTTACTGTTCCAATTTAAATTAAAAATTTAATATAAAGGGTTCCGACAAGAGGGACGGGAGGCAAGTAGGCTTCATGCTCATGCCCAGCCCCCAGCCTTGTATCAGACAAGGTTTCCATATCTCTTACACCCTGAACATGTCGTCGTTCCCAACAAACGCAACTAAAGATGTTCACGCGCGACAACTGCTTGATCAACTCGAGAAGACCATCGAAGAAACCATTGAAGATGTTTCATCGGCCAAAGATGTCAAGAAGACGATCAACCATTTGATGAATCGTTTTCCACTAGACCAACAGAGCGAACAGAAGCTGCAGGATCTCCTTCTCCGCAAAAATACTGCCCCCTCTCATCGTTTCTGTGATATCCGTGATGAGCTCGCTGAAATAGACAGAATTCTGGCCCAACGTGACGCTAAGGTCTATCAGGACGATTTCCAAACTTTATCTGAACGTGAACAGATTATTATACACGAAGCAGACAAGCATCCGCTCGTGAAACGTCTGCGGGTGAGTTATGAATTTTCCCTCCGACCACTTAAGCACGACCCGAGAATTTGCCTGTTTTTGGCAATATTCCCAGGAAATGCTATTCTAAGGAAAAGGTTTCTTATTTATTGGTGGATTGGGGAAGGGTTGGTCCGGGACGAGGAAGAAGGCGAAAGAGTATTTGAAGAGCTTTTGGATCTTGAATTGCTTATACCTCATCATACTGACCAGTGCCCAAGAGTGAGTAAATGTAAAATTTTCCCTTGGATCCGTTACATGTTGATCTCAGAGGCCAAGAAAGAGAAGCTTTTGAACTTAGAGGGCGGGACACCACGTTTTGATCCTACCCATTCTCGGCGTACTTGTTTGATCGCTGATCCCACTAATTTGTCTGGTAAAAGCAAACCCAGACTTGATAAGACCGTGAGGACCATTTTTAACGTAAACGAGAGAGACCTTGATTTTCAGCAGCAAGAGCTTGCTGAGCTGGAGAGATTGGCGGTGCTTCAGCTAGGCCGTTGGCAGGCTTTGCTCACCCATCACATTGAAGTTCGAGATGAATCGTTCCTAACAGGTTTGAAGACCCAGAAACTCCTCAAGCATCTCAGCCTGCGTGGGATTTCAAGAATTACTAAACTTCCTGAGTCCATTAGAGAACTGGTCAGCCTCAAAATTCTGGACCTCAAGGCCTGTCATAATCTAGAAACCTTGCCTGATGCGGTTGCATCGCTGGAAAAGCTCACACATTTGGATGTATCAGAATGTTACTTGCTGGAAAGCTTGCCAAAGGGGCTCCACAACCTCACTTCACTGCAAGTACTCAAGGGATTCATAATAGGCAGTTCGCAGAAGAGTCTCATTAGATTGCAGCATCTTCCAAGTCTGAAGAATCTGAAGCGATTAAGTATACATGTGGGGAGTGAGGCTACCATCCAGGAAGGTGAATTCGACAATTTGAAGCATTTGACACAGCTCCGGCATCTGAAAATATCTTGGGGTAAGGCAGATGATGTTGAAATATCTCTATCTTTTCCGGCAAGGCTGCAAAAACTGGATCTTGAAGGCATTCCTTACAAGACGAAGCCAGAATGGTTAACGCCCAGCAAACTGACGAATCTGGATATGCTATACATCAAGGGAGGAAAGCTCAGAGATTTATTAGATTACGAGGGCGAGCGGTGGAATGTGAAATATTTAGTGCTCAATTACACCCGGATGCCGCAAATTAATCAAGAAACTCTCAGGTCAAAGTTTCCTTTACTCCAATATGTGAAGAAGCTGGAGTGGAGAGATCGTAAGCAATCCGTGGAGCATGAATGGAGCAGTGACAGATTTGAGCTTCGATCGAAACAATTTCCACTTCCAAATTATGAAATAATAAGACGAGGGATGATATGTTCCTCTCTTATTTCTGGCTAATTTTGGTGTTTGCTGTTTGCCTTTTCATTTTGTTGTATTGGCTGTTGCTGAAATCTCACAATTCAAAAGGCCAATGCAAGAAAGTTCATTTATTCAAATCTTTATCTTTTTTTCTCTTATAGGGTGCCAGGTGTGATTACATAGAATTGAGATAAAAACATGGCTGTACAACCGAAAGAATTTATAATCTTGATGCTGTGCAACTTTGCGCCCAAAAAAAAAAAAACATCAGATTCATCTCGAGGAAACATTACTGGTCTGCTGCTCTCTGTATATGTGATGGTTACGAAATTAATCACTACGATTCCATCGCTTAGCTAACGATTCCCTATAATGGCGACATGGAAAGAAAATAATTTCAATTAATGAAAAAAATACAAATAACTAGAGAAAAAAATTCAAAAAGAATATATATATGTAAGCCAATTATAATAATAATTATAATAAAATCTAATAAATTATTCCATATAAAAAAATTAAATGATTTGAATAGATTATGATAAACGTTATTCTCTTACTTATGTGTGTATCTTGCATTATTTTTTTTAAAAAAAGCTTTATATATACAATTTGTTTTTACATTGAATACTGAAATCAATGAGTTATTAATTATATCATAACCAAATTTTATTTATATTAATTTGTATAATAAAATTATTAATATTTTATTAATAATCAAGAGGAATTGATTTTAATGAAACATAAAACAAATTTTCTAAGAAATTGTCTTTCTATTTGAGTATGTATCTAAAGACAAGATGAATGATAATGATACCTTTATTAATATCAACTTTACAAATATATCAGTTTGTTTTACAATTAAAAATATATTTAGATCATTACATTCTTAATGATGTTATTATATAAATTGTTGGAGGATCATAATCTAAAATAATAAAATTTAAAATTAACAATATATTAGACTTAATGACGGAATTAGTGACAAAAAATTTTATGGTAAAAAATTTAGAGCCAAAATTAGTAACAAAAATTAACGATAGAAAAATTATGTTGCTAAAAAATTGCTTACAGATTTTTTGACTGATTAGCAATGGAATTTAGTGACGAAATACAATTTTGTTACTAATCAGTTACTAATATTAGTGACGGAATATTTTGCTAAATTTAGCAATGAAATTTTCATTGATAATTTATCAAAAAATAGTGAGAGAATAATTTTTTGTTGCTAATTTTGTTGGTAATAACTTTTTTTTTGTAGTGCAAGAAAATGTCGTTCTAGAATGGATATAAACAAAATAAAAACTCAAATTATTTAAATTGACTAGAAATACTAGTTTAGATTTATTAAAGTATAATATTATTTTTTGATAAGCAAAAAGTACAATATTATTATGCAATATAATCAGACAACTTAATCTTTGACTCTTTGTTGCTATATCATGCCTATAAAATTACGCAAGAGATAATAATATAATTTTTTACCGTATCTGAAACACAGATATTGAGTCAACAATTATAAAAATTAAAAAAATAAGTGTTTCTTAAATTTGAAAATTAAAATTTAAGACTTTGTGGATATATATTTAAATCAGAGAAAAATTATATACTCAAGGTTCTCGATTGTATCCAATCAATCAAGACAAGTAAAATTTCTATAAATTATTTATTTATAACAAATTCTTTCATTAATATCATTAATATTTTAAAAACTGGCAACTCTTGTTTCGATTTGACTGAAGTACATAAGTAGATATAAAGTTAACTACTAAGTGTTTCCCTCAAATAAACACATATTTTTGCATATATTAGAATATATATATGTAATATATATAAGCTTCAACATTTTGAATGAGTTGGGTCATTTTTATAAGCTACATACACTTTGAAATATCTAAACATTTAATGTGTTTGTTTTTATTTTTACCTCTAATTATTTTTATTTTTTCACCCATCCTCTCTTCCGCTCATACTCTTCATAAATAAAGATGTTTTGAAAAAAATAAGTTATATTTTTAATATTTATTATCTTTAATTATTTTTTTAAATTATGTAATTCAGTTATATTTAAACTTATAAAAAGGAAGGGAAAGAGTATTTTCATATTACAATTACATTTAAGAATAAATGATATATATGTGCATTAATAAGTTGTTAGTTGAGATGATAAGTGGCATTATTCCCATAAAAAAATTTAAATATTAAAAAGCGTATTTGTTGGAAAGATCCTGGCTTTAACATTATTCCTAGCCTGCTTTAAGTTACCGGAAAAGAATAATACACGTGTACAGCGTGGCTGCAGCCTGGAAGATGCCAAACTTGATTTAAAGTTTAAACATCCAAAACAGGGAAAAGAATAAATTAAAGAAAAGAAAAAGAAAAGCAGCCATGCATGGGGGGCCCAATTATGCTATGCATGAGGTTTTAAACTCCTATATGCTTAGCACATGATATTTTAAATCAATTCATGCAAAATTCATCATAATATCGCACATAGCTAATGTTTATCAACAAATCAAGTTGCATTATTCATAATTTAGAAGAATAATATAATGAAACTGAAAAGTTTCTTGATTAAATTAATTGATTTTAATTTTATCAATCACGAATCGCCCCGGGATTTATTAAATTCAATACATATATGGTAAGTACTTATTAGCGTCAATGCTGAGCATTCTATCTCCTTTTTAGCAGCTTCAGTTACAATAACAAAGGTTTTGAATGAGTATAATTGAAAAAGGATAACAAAATTATTCATATATAACTATGAAAAAAATAAAACTTAAATAAAAATGCATTAAATCACACATGATTGAGTTACAAGAGTCGAAGACACAAGCATACGACGAATTGCCATCTCTTTTGAACTTAAGAACAAATTCATTTCGGACTAAGCAAGAAAAGGGAAGAAGATATATAAAATCTAAGTGGCCATCAATAATCCATCAGACTGATCGACAATGGGATTGCTGGTGGACGGCTTGGGGGTTGTAGTCTAATATATGGAAGAAATGCGCTTTCCCTGTAATCGAAAGGATTTAGATGTATTAATCTATTGTTTGCACCGAATTTTTGGGCCACGGATTTTTTCCGGCTGGTTACAATGACAGCACCACCTTCATGTTTCTTCAATTTGCCCAACAAATTATCAGCGAACCATTCGGTACAGTGCCACATGTCATCCAACACCAAAATGTAGTTCCTTGAGATCGTCAGCAATCGACGTTCTAGTTCTTCCATGAGCCTATCCTTATCCCCGTCGAAATTGCCCGCCATGCCATCAGTATCTAAGCCTAAACAATACAACAAGTGTTTCATAATCCTGACATCTATGATCTCCTTTTCTTCTTCGCGCGTCATAAGATCCGATAAGCCAGCCCAGATGAGGCTATTAACAAGCGCTGTCTTCCCCGAACCACCCATCCCACAAATCCCGACGGCCTTGAAGTCATCACCACCCGGCGTCGAGAGCCAATCAACCATTTGCTTTTCGAGTTTGCCGGAAGACTCTTGGACCTCAGGAAAAGTAGTAATTCGATCGGGTTCGCAGGAGGGACACTGATCAGACAGCGGAAAATTCTTCTCCGGGCTTGATTTGACCGAGTTTGAAGTAATTTCCTTCGCTGTTGTCTGCATCCGGTTGAGTCTAGCATCGATAGCTGAGCGCTCTCTCCTGCGAGCCATATGATACTGGCAGGAGAAAATCCTCTTGATATACTTGTCCTGCTCCTTGAGAATCTGCCACTCTGTGAGGGTGTCGTTAAGATCGGAAAGCCATGAATTGCTTTCAGGCCCCATTAACTTTGTCTTCAAGCTGTCACCGATGGCTTTAAACGTGTCCAAGGTAGGATCTGATAGGTATGAGGTCTCTTTGTCGATAGATTGTAAGTATTGTTTTATCAGAAATCTGGCGACGTCGGACGATGCCATGATGATGACAGGAATCGCAAGTACAGAACTGGGCAGTTTCCAGCGCTTATGAGAGGAAGATGAAGCTCTTATGTGGAGCTATGAAATAAACCAACAGGGAAAAGAAAGAATTACGTTGATAATATTCTCTTACCCAAATTAACGTTGGCCCCATCCATCCCATTTCATATCAAATAGTTTTTGTCAGGAGATAAAACCTAGTTCAAGATCAGGTTAATTTCTCCAATCAATAAGCTTGTTATTTTAATATGGTCATATTAGCTAAACTACAAATATGCACTTATAAATTCGCCTATAAAATATGACACTTCTATTTTTACTATTACTAATTAAAATGTGCACCTATAAATTTAACCTATTGTATATAAATAAATTGACCTAATTTTTGTCTAGATATTGTATTATTTAAAAATTCGTAAATATGAAACTTCGGTTGATATATTCATGGAAATATGTCTAATTTAAACCCAAAAAAAAAATGCTGTTTTTGATCGTTTAATTGAGGTCAACAATTTAACATATGATAATGAATGATATAAAAATTAAATTTTAAACAATTATTAAAAAAAAAGTGTATTGGATATTCTTATCAATCAAACCAAATTAGAAAAAGAAACAAAAAGAGGAAAAAGAAAGTTTTCCATATGCTTTAAAGTGGCATTAGAATATTACGGATGATTTCCTCTCCCACAAGTTAGATATAAATTCAAATCGTGCTTGTCACTTCTCATCTTCTTCTTCTTCTTCTTCTTCTTTTTTCCTAATCTGTTCTATTCCAGTTGGAGCGTTTGGGAATTGTACTTTAAAAAATGACGCAAATTAAACTCTTTTAAATCATCGTGTATTTATCTTGTACAAAGCAAAATTATTGAAAATAATAATTTAAATTTCTTTTGATGAAAAAGTCTAAATTTAATACTCATATTTCATATAGCATTACAAGATGAAAATGTCATTAATAAAATTATATCAACCGAGAAATTGCCGGTTAGTGTAGGGAAGTGTCCAAGCAATGAAATGTTTTAGTAAAATTTAATATAAAGTCAGCGTTCCTGCGAGGGGGGTGGATCGGAGTCAGGTTATCTTCATGCTCAGATGCTCATGCCCTTATCCCACAGATAACGTTTCCATCTCTTACGCTCTGAACATGTCGAGCGCATCAAAAACAGATCCAACGACGGATCTGCCCCGACTGCTGAGTAAACTCAAGAAGACCTTCGACGAAACCTCTGAAGATGTTTCATTAGCCAAAGATGTCAAGAAGACGATCGACCAGTATTTGAAGAATCAATTTCAACTAGACGCAAGGTCGGAACAGGAACTGCGCACCAAATTCGAGAAGCTGTATCATCACCTCGGCAAAACTACTGAACCCTCTCATTTCCGTTCTATCCGTGAGGAGCTCGTTCACATAAACGAATTTCTGGGCCAAAGTGCCGGTGAGGCCAATCAGCACGATTTCCAAGCTTTATCTGAAACGGAACTGGATATTATAGACAACGCGGAAGAGGATCGGCTAGTGAAACGTCTTCGGGCGAGCTACGAATTTTTCTTCGGACATGATGAACTTAAGCGTGACCCGAGAATTTGCTTGTTTCTGGCAATTTTCCCTGGAAATGCTGTTCTGAGGAAAAGGTTTCTTATTTATTGGTGGATTGGGGAAGGGTTGGTCTCGAAAGAGGGAGAAGGCGAAAAAGTATTTGAAGAGCTTTTAGATTTAGAGTTACTCATACCCCATGGCAAGTGCCCAAGAGTGAGTAAATGTCAAATTTCCCCTTGGGTCCGTTGCATGTTGATCGCACTGGCCAAGAAAGAGATGCTTTTGGACATAAAGGAAAAGATACCACATTTTGATCTTGCCCATTCCCGGCGGACTTGTTTGATCGCTGGACACTCTGATTTGGGAATTGAAAGAGAATCCACACCTCCAGAGACTTTGAGGACCATTTTTAACGTGAACGAAAGAGATCTTCATTTTCAAGACCAATGGCTTGCTAAACTGAAGAGATTGCTGGTGCTTCAGCTTGGTCGTTGGCAGGTTTCTCCCACCCATCAAATTGAAGTTCAAGATGAATCGTTCCTAACCGGAGGTTTGAAGACCCAGAAACTGCTCAAATATCTCAGCCTCCGTGGGATTTCAAGAATAACTTCACTTCCTGAGTCCATCAGAGAACTGGTCAGCCTCGAAATTCTGGACCTCAAGGCTTGTCATAATCTAGAAAACTTGCTAAACAAGGACGAGGCCATTGATCAGTTTCAAAACAATTTCCACTTCCAAATTATATATGAAATAAAAGGATATTTGTGGCAGATAATTGTTTGGGACTTAATATCATTTTCCCAACCAAGATCATACAAGAGAGGATACTTTCCTCTGTTTCTGGTTGATTTTGTTGTTTGCCTTTTCATCTTGTTGTATTGGGTGTTGCTGATGAAGTCTTTTGATTTTCACAATTCAGAAGGTTAATTTAAAAAAAAAAAAAGTTCAGTCGCATGTTTACATCACATCTTCTTCTTTTTCTTTTGTGCCATGTATGTTTATATAGATTGAGATAAAAGATGATAGCATAACCAAAACAATTTATAAGCTGGAGAGGTTTTCTCTCCTATTTTGAATAAAAACAAAGAATTGAGATAAAAGATGAATGTACAATCGAAAGAATTTATAAACTTGATGTTGTACAACAATGGGTTAAAAGAATAAAATAGCACCAAATTCATCTGTAGGAAACATTGGTCTGCTACTCTCTGTACTTATATATGATGATTACGAAATTAATGAAAAAAATAAAAATACCTAAAGAAAAAAATTCAAAAAGAATACGAAGTCATGAAAAAAATAAAAAATAAACTTGATGTTTTACTGCATCTCAAACCCAAATATTTAGTCAACAATTTTAAAAAATAATTATGTTCCTAAACTTTGACAAAATTAAAACTTGAGGTGTGTGGATATATATATTTAAATCAAAGAGAAATATATACTCATGTTTCTTGTTTCCTAGAAATCGAGATAGGTTAGTTTTTCATAAATTATTTCTTTTATAACAAATTTTTTTGTTAATTTCACTATTATTTTAAAATCTGGCCACTTGTTTTGATGTGATTGAAAAAAAGTGTAAAAGTATATATATAAAGTTAAATACTAAGTAAAGTTAACTAATAAGTCTTTCCCTCAAACAAATTAATATATACTTTCATATATATCAGAATATATGTGTCTATGGAGAGGATCTTATATATAGTCAGTATTAAAACTCTTTAAAAAGTCTACAATGTGGAGAGATTAGTTACCGCTACTTGCGATAAATATGCTAGACTCGAAAAAAAAGAAAAGGAAATGTATGCACTGTACTCCTCCATTGCTATTTCTAAAATAGATATAAAAAAAAGATATTTTTTATCATATTTATAGGTCATATTATTAAAATTTTCATACAAATTTACCCATCATGTATTATTCCCACCCTATTCTTTTTATAAGATTTTTTAACTAAATTATATCGTTTGAAAAAACATTTAAGATTAGTTAAAAACAATAAATATATAATAATTAAAAAAATTTCAAGTATGTCTTTATTTTAAAACGAAGCAGGTAAAAGAGAGAAATATTTGTAATGAGATAAAAGAAAAAAGAGTATGTAGTACGAGAAAAAGATGAGCAAAAAAAAAAGAAAATTAATGCAGGAGCAAAAATGATAAAAAAAATGTATTTAATGTTTAGACAATTCTAAGTAGGATCTAATAAAATGGATCAAATCAATTCAAGTTTTGGGATTCTATAAAAAGAGATTGGAGGGAGTCTTGTGTAGACTTTGTTTTTATAAGGTATAATTTGATATTAAATGGGGTGAAGTTAGGGAGTGAAATTAGAGAGTCACTCATTTAATATATTTTACATGAACCAAGAAAAACTTTAAACTATATTAACCCTTTAAAATATAACAACTTTTCTACTTTGCCTATATTTAATGTATACACCTTTAAAAAATAATTATCTACACAATAATAAGTAAAAGACAAAAAAGTATATTCATACTAAAAATTAAATGAGATGACTTATAAGTAAGACCAAGAAAAATTTTAGAAAAATGACATAGAAGAAGTTGGAAATTGCAATATTCTAATTCAAGCACCTAAGAGGTCAAAATCCCATGGGAGGAAGTGATGCCTAATTTAATATTTTACAAATATAGTTAAATGACAAAAATACCCCTGTATCAAAAAGTTTATTAACAAGTTGTGAACTGACAATGACCAATGTTGAATAACAAATGATAAGAAATATATTGGTAATGACAAATTATTTATTAATAAGTTATAAATTGTAATGACAAGTAGTATTGAACAAGCAATGACAAGTTTGATAGCTATTTTCAGAAAATATGATACAAAGTCATTTTAGTTATTGGGCTATATTTGCAAAATACCAAATCAAACACTACTTCCTCTTCCGGGATTTTGATCTGTGCCTAAATTAGAATATTGTAATTTTTAACTTCTTTTTATATCATTTTTTCAAAAAAAAATTCTCTCTTCCATACAAATAAGAGGAGAGGAGTATTAAATTTTAAGGTTAGTTAATGTTGTCAAAGATTTTTATTGATTTCAATAGGAGGAGGAGGTTGTACATCTTGACGTCGCATTACATTTAAGAATAAATGATACGTGTATGCCGTGGCTGTTGCCAGCAAGATGCCAAACTTGATCTAAACATTAAAAAAAGGGAAAGAATAAACTAAAGAAAAAGAAAAAAAATTAAAGAAAAGAAAAATTAAAGCAGGCATGCATGGGGCCGTTTTTAAATTGTGGCTTCCTACATACGGGGATGGAGATTCCCAAATCCGTAACGAAACTTCCATCACCCACAATATATAGAGATCACACACACACACACACTAGGCATGCCCAAGGTTATAACTTGGTCTTTTGTGAGGCACAAACATGCTTTCTTCCATCTCACAATTTCAGAAGCTGATATGGGACCAGTGGAACATCCGCATAATTATCCTCTTCAGTCTCTTCCTTCAGATCTTCCTCATCGTTTCTGCTCCCTTCAGAAAACGGATGAGAGGAGGAGTCTCCGAATTCTTCATATTCTTTGTCTGGTTGGCTTATCTTCTCGCCGACTGGGCAGCTGGCTACTGCATTGGACTCATCTCCAACAATCAAGAGCAAAAAACCACTCTCACACAAAACGATTACCTCATGGCATTTTGGGGTCCTTTCCTTCTCCTACACCTGGGTGGCCCTGACACCATCACTGCGTTTTCTTTGGAGGACAACGAGCTCTGGCATAGGCACCTTCTCGGCCTCATTTTCCAGTCAGTCACAACTGCTTATGTCTTCCTTTTGACGGTCCCTCGGAACCCGTTATGGTTGCTGACGATATTGATGTTTGTTGCCGGATTAATCAAGTATGCTGAGAGAACTCGCGCTCTGTACATCGCGGCCATCAATAATTTCAGGAAGTCCTTGCTTCCGAAGCCGGATGCGGGGGCCAATTATGCGAAGCTCATGGAGGAGTACTCTTCTAGGCTGGCGGCCGAGCTTCCAGCCGAAATAATCATGATTCCGGAGACCGGTGAGACGGGAAAAGATGGGAGCAGCAATCAAGAAACAGAGGCAAAGAAAAAAGGGTAAAAAGGACTTGTATTACTGAGTTAAACTCACTTATTAAAACTTCACTAATTGTGTGTTTGGTAGGAGGGATTTGGGAAGGAGGAGAGGGATTTTAATCATTTCTCCTTGTTTAACAAATACACAAATTTTAGGAGGGTAGGGAAAATTTTTTAAAATTTTTCCTCCCCTCCCCTCTAAAATTGCAAGGATTTGGACGGAAAGGGCAATATTTTGCTCTGTTATGACTATTATACCCATATTTTATCATATTGTGACTATTATGTCTATATCTTAAATAAAATAAGGGTAAAATTATTTATGTTAAAATATTTTTCCCTCCTCTCCCCTCATGAACCAAACAAGATAATATTAAAACTCCTTCCCTCTTCTCTTTTTTTGATAAATCCAAATAAGGTAATATTAAAATCCTTCCACTCTCCTCCCTTCATTTTCCCTCCATTAAAATCACTCCCCTCCCCTTCCTCTTATTGAGCCAAACATACCCTTAGGCTTTGTTTGGTTGGAAGGTTTTTGAGAGGAGGGGAGAGGAGCGGGGAGGTGAAGGAGAAGAAATTGTATTTGGTTCCAAAAAAAAATAAAGGGGAGGGGAGGGAAAAAATTTTGTCTTTTAGTGCTCTACTCCATTCCTTCTGCTCCCCTCCAAATTTGGGATTTTTTGATAGGAGAGAAATATTATTTCTCATCCTGACTAAATTACCTATGTTAGTTTTTGAATATTCCAAATTTCTTCTTTTCAGTAAAAACTTTTTTTCACTCTTTGCCTTTTTTTTCAGCTTCTATTATTCTTCTACAGATTTTTTTTTAACTCCTCAAAGATTTTTTTTGGTTGCATATTTTCGTTCCCTGATTTTATCATTTTCCAAGCTCTTTACTATTAATCTTTCTCATCTTTTCTCCTTGCCTAACCCCCCACCTCATTCATCTTATCATTATTATCAGTATTTTTTATTCATTTGTTCTGTATAAAACTATTCTTTATTGGTTTATATGAGTTAAAGTCATTGAACTCTATTAAAATGATATTATCAATCACCAAATTTGTTGATATGTGTGTCCATATATACCTATTTTAATTCAATTTCATTTTTTACACAAAACTCTGTGTTTTATCTAATTAAGCATGTGAGGTTACGCATATTATATAATTAAGGATGAAATAGTTTAAAACTTGTAGTATAAATTTATTTATAATTTATATAATATGCTAAAGATTATAATATATTTTTTTGATGGACACTTATTTTGATATATAATTATTTATAATCTACTTGTTATGTCTCAAGATATCTAGTTTTTTTTTTTTATATTCACAAATTAAAATATAATAATTATGATATAAATATCGTAATAAAATAATAAAGAAGTTTAAATAAAAAAATAAGGATATATTTGTCAACTTAAAATTAGCTCCCATCCCTTCTCCTCCTAAATCAAACAAGAAATCTCCCCTCCAATCCTTTTCTTCCAACCAAACAAAACTCATAACCTTCCCTCTCCTCCTCTTTCCTCCTCTTAATTCACCTCCGCTCCCCTCCCCTTCATTGAACCAAACAGCCTGAATAAATAGCAGACTAACAAATGCTATCCTTTATCATTATATACAGCGATGGAAAGGAGCTCGTGGCGATTGATATTTACAAACTTGAGTTGGTGCAGAAAGCTTTCTCCTTCTTCCTCAAGTTTAAAGGTCTCGTCGTTGACATGATATACAGCTTCAAAGACCGGGACGACAGCCGGAGATATTTTGAAAGCAAATCGGCAGGAGAGGCTCTCATGCTCATAGATGTTGAGCTCAATTTCATGTATGAAGTTTTCTACACCAAGGCCTCGGTGATTCGCCAAAATTGGTTCTGGTTCTGTGGAAAATTCGTTTCATTAATGTCCATTACGGCCACCCTTGTACTCTTCATTAAGGTAGACAGGCATGGTTTCGACAAGTTGGATGTTAGGGTGACTTATGCGTTGCTGTTTGGCGCTCTGTTCCTGGATGTCATGGCTCTTTTCAAGCGTTTTTTCAGTGATTACACTGCTACCCTCTCCGATGAATCTCTAATAGATTCCTACGCAGCTTCTCATTACCAAAACTTCCGAATTAAAATCTTCAGGCGTCTCAATGGAATAATTTTGTCGCGGTTCCTCAGGCTGGGGAATCTAACCTGGCCACAAATCCAGAAAGGCCCTTACCGCGGCTGTCACAGATTGTCCACCAAATTTTTAATGCGCAGATGGTCTGGATCAATCACGGGGTACAATCTGCTGAGTTACTGCTTGAAAGAGTCAGTTCAGAGGGATCCTGATGATCTATGCCTCAAAATCTGGGTATATGTCAAGCATTTATTCTGTCAACTAGGCAAATGTTGTAATATTAACGACCTCCTTGATCAGTGGAGGCATGAATCCAAAAACCCGTTCGTCAAAGAGCTTTGGGAATACTTGTTCGAAAAGCTGAAAGAGAAATCAGCTGGTGCTCAAGATATAGAGGCCATCCAAAGCATATGTTCTGCTAGAGGTGAGCAGGTTGTCCAGAAGGCCAACTTAGAAACCCTGAAGCCATTTGTGGATCCGAACGAAGTTGCTTTTGATCAGAGCCTTCTATTGTGGCACATTGCTACTACTCTCTGTTCCACCCAAGACGCTAAAAATGAAGAGAAGGATCGACGCAATAGACAAATCAGCATGCTTGTCTCGGATTACATGCTATACCTTCTGGTTATGCAGCCCAACATGATGTCGGCCATAGCAGGAATGGGACAAAAGAGGTTCCAAGACACATGTGAAGAGGCCAAAAGGTTCTTCAAGAGGAGGAGCATTCCAGCAGAAGGGGATGGTGGGGAGGATATGCTGAAGGAAGCTTGCGACATTCTAATGAAAGTGCCAACAGAACAAAAACCCATTGATGTGAAGGGGGATAGGAGCAAATCCCTATTGTTTGACGCATGTCGTTTGGCCAAAGAGTTGAACAATTTAGAAAATAACAAGAAATGGGAAATCATAGCCAGTGTGTGGGTGGAATTGCTGTCGTATGCCGCGTGCCACTGCAGGCCTACGGGACACGTCCAGTTATTGAGTAAAGGTGGCGAGCTCATTTCCTTTGTTTGGCTCTTAATGGCTCAACTCGGTCTCAGCACTCAGTTTCAAATCAAGGATGGCGACGCGAGGGTCAAACTCATAGCGGGTTACTCCCACAGTTAAATTGAGAGGAGAGGGTGATCCATGTCTATATAAATATATACATATATATATAATGGTTTGTGCTGGTTTGGTCGGTTAAATTGAGAGGAGAGGGTGATCCATTTATATATAATTGTTTGTGCTGATTTGGTTGTTTTCTTTTTTAATTTAGCGACAGGATAATTTATGATGATGATCAGTTGAAAATTACCAGATAGATTGTTATTTTCATTTTATCAAAGTATTGATTAATGATTTTTTTTCTATTTTTACATGATGAGAAAATATTAAATTATACGTGATAACCAAACTCATGTTATTCTTTATCCTCAAGGATCCTGAATATGTATGAAGACTAAAGTGTTATTCTTGGGTTAAATAGTGGAAGTGTAAGTTGTGAGTAATTGTATTCAGCTTACATTAAATAATTATATAAAACTACTTATTCTTAAATATCAAATCGAAGTCCTCAGCATTCACACTACAAAAATTTACAACTAACTATGGAAAAATTTAACATTCGGTGAGATCCATAAGAATAAATAGTTTCTGGATTTCTTTTTTTGAAAAAACTACTTTGTCCTATTGCAGAACGTATTGTTATGATTTGTAATATTTTTAAGCAATACGCGGCCGGCCAGGATTTCATTCTTTCCTTTTACTGGGAAAGTTACTTGGCTGACTGACAGCTGCTTCATATCATGTCATTTCTTTATTTAATTATAAGACGTTTTCTTTTTTAATTTGTTGAGTTCTCTTTGCCTCTAGGTCCAAAGAAGTTTTTTTTCCTAATTATTTTGCTTTCATTGCAGAACATATTTTCATGATTGGTTTAGGTAATGCACATCGGGCATTTCTCCCTTTACATCTAATTACCTCGTTTCTGTGGCAGCAATATTTTCATAATTGTTATCAATAATAAACTAATTTCTATAAGGTCACCCAATATGTATAAAAACAGGAGACTTTAATTTCTAGTTCCATGAAAGAAAGGGAATGAATGGTACTATAGATCGATCTATGTAATAAATTGGTTTAGCTTGTTTTCTTGCCAGAAAATTCTGGATCTTGTAGGTGTGGTACCATCACGTCCTAATCCTTCATGCTTTTTCAAAATCAAATGCTAATTATGTTATGTGAGAACACATTTTTTATTTTTCTAAAAAAACTATATACACCGCTTTGATATTTAATTCGAGGCACTTTTTGAAAAAAAGAGTAGTCTTTATTATAGGTCACTAAGTATGATGGTAATTACATTTTTACAAGGTTTCCCTTATTTAAAGTTTGATACAATTTTTTTTTTCACCAAGTCACTAAAAAGGCAATTCTGTTTGATGTTCGAAATAATATCGTCCACTAAATATGAATATTTTTTTAAAATTTGAATATTGGCTTGTCATGTTATTACTAAATCCAACCTCTGTTGAGTCTATCAAATAAAGAAAAAAATTTTCAAAAAAAATTGAGGATGAATTTTATTTCAAACGTACCATATAAAAAGGTTTCAAGTAATATTATATTATTCATATTCCTATTCCCATTTCCATGTCTCTCTTTCTATTCCTTCATTGTCCATTCAACATCATTCCAAACACGTATTGCCATAGTAGAAGGAGACCGGTAAAACATACATACTCTCTAATTAAGAATGTTGATTCCCTCACACACACACAGCAATTACCGCCACACACATATTCATCGTTCTTCTTCGATCTCTTTTTTGTTTTCTTCATATGATTTCCTGTGCATGCCTTCATGCAATTCCATCTCTGCTGCTGCTTCCTTAATCTCGAACTTGCCCTTTTCATTTCCCAGTAATGAGTAAGACAGTAAAAGCCGATCAAGCAAACAAAAGAAATATTTCAAATCTAACACCTTGATTTAATTTAAAGAAATTTAAATTTTTTCACGTCTATTATGATATATAATCTCACAAGTCATATATCACTATTTTTAAGCTAGAAGTGTTTTTAAAAGTAGCTTTTGACTCAATTAATTTTCCTTTAAAGTTGAATAACACGTTCAATTTAAGATGAAATATGTAAACCATATTTAATCGCACAGAGCATTTTTATAGCTCAGAAAATGCTTTTTTAAGAGATAAAAGTTCAGCAGCGTACCTGTGACGAGCTTTTTTCAGCTTCGTCTGCATAACGTTTGAGGCTGTCGGTTTCAGTTAGTCTGGCAATGCCAGTTTTCCAAACCTCCCTTTTAAGTTTATCTATCAGAAAAAACCATGCAGAAAAAGAATCATAATTCACTGCGATATGAATTATACTATATTACTATGATAAATCAACCAGAACTAAAATGATGACATTAGAATATTTTAATGATGTAAGTACCATGATTTTCGCGCAAGTGTGTTATTGTCTCGTTCAGGTCTTGTAGCCAGCATTTCTTAATATGTGTCACATAAACTTGTTTCAATTTTGGAGTTCTGAGAGGTTGCTTCACAAATGTGTTCATGTTTGGAACTTTCTCTACTCTAACCATCTTTAACTCTGGGAATTCAAAAGAATTAACAGCTTCTTCACAGAAACTGGTGAGTCTTGGCAGGTGTTTAAGCACAAGTGTCTCCAACTTTGGGAACTTTACTACTTGTTTACTCTTTCCTTCTCCACGTCCTTCAAGAACTCGAACCATATTTTCACATTCATATAATGATAGCAATCTCAGACGTGAGAGGTGTTCGGCCACCGGAATGGAAAATAATTTTTCCATGATTCCACAACGCATGATTTTAAGGTCGGCCAGATTTCGAAACACTGGAAACTCAGGTTCCTGCTTCCACAACTGCATTTTGGGTAAATCAGCCAACTCCAGTAATTCTAACTCAGGAGGTATTTTCATTTTGCCCTCACCATGAAGGGATTCCTCCTCTATGTCATCAAATAACACACGTGCTAAACTCCTCTGCAACAGAATATATATATTTAAGTCATAAATTTAACACTGCATATTTAAACGTTGGGGTGATCAACATCACAACGTACGATGAAGAGATCACATGAAATAATATCTTTGAAGAACACATTTACTACCTTGTCCGACGAGTGGTCCGCTGCTTTAGCAGAGACGTTCCCTGATAACAATTTCTTCCCAACCTCAGGACAGTTAATTATTCTCAGTTTTTTGAGTGATGGAAATTCACAGGTCTCCGAGGACAAGAATGAGAGCTTTGGTAGATTTTCAAGAACAATAGATTCTAAATGACCGGAAGTTTCCTGGTCCGTTTTTCCTCCTTCTACACGGTCAGTGGCAATCTCTTCCAAAATGTTACAGTCACAAATCTCAATCTCTTTCAGATTCAAACATTTTGTGGGCAGTTCCAGGCTTCGAAGAGAACTGCAATTCCTTACAACCAGTTTGTTCAACTTGTTTGACCCCGCAATCCTCGTATAACTCCATTTGCTCAAGGAAACCACTTCCACGCTCAACAATTCTAGGCCTTCCAGCATCAACCTCTCCAATTTAGGGCATGCGTGCTGCAGAAAAGAGCTTCAAGATATTATTTGAGCCACAGAAATTTCACACTAATAAATTGTAATGCCTCATGAATACTTAACTTTGTGAGGATGTTCAAATTAGAGGACTGAACAAAATTTATTATTGTACATACCATCATCTCTTTCTGCGGCACACCACCAGATGTCCCTTTCTGGTTGCTTAAAAGCCCGGCAGTAAATTCAATCAATTTTGGACACTTTTTTATCGTCAATCTCAGTAGATTAGGAAATCCGACATTGCAGTTCCTTGAGCTGAACTTGATCAACTCTGGGAGGTCTGCAAGATAAAGATCCTTTAAACCATGAAATGATCTCTCCTGCATTTCCTCGTTGTCCTCTACGACTTGTTCCAGCATCTTACATGACTCTATCTTCAATTCCTCCAGAAGAACAAGTTTTTCCAGTAAAGCAATCGAAAGTGGACCCTGGCGTAACCCACAATCGATTATCTCTAATTTAACTAGTTTGCCGAGTTCCACAATCCTCCTTGGATCCTTGTTCCATATGCACTTCAAATTGCGTAACGAACACAATCTCATTGTCTTCAAATTGGGGAATTTCAGATTTCCTTCTTCAGCAACAATTCCTGTGAGATGGAAAACCTGTTCCAGCAGGTCGCACGATTCCACTGTCAGGCGCTCAAGCTTACTGGACCGGCGAAGCAAAATGGACAAAAACTCGTTCAACTCATTGCCGCAATGGAAGGCCTCTACAGTTTTCAGTTGCCTGAAAGATGATTCATGAAGCTCCATTCTCATATATTTCTGCAACTCCTTCGAGTCATCGATCCTTAAATTTTCAATTTTGGAGATTTCATCCTGTAAAATAATGATACCAGAATCAGCAGTATTAAGTGACGAACAGTATTGAAAACCTTTGTTCCTGTGTGTTGTGTGTGTGGGGGTTATATTCTTAAAAACTCTTCTCTTATATAAAAATCAAATTCGATCCTTAAGCTTCGTTATATTTTCATTTGCATTCACATGATGTGAGAAGAATAACTAAGGAAGAGAGTACTTACAGTTAACTCAGAGAGATAACCGATGTTGCTCTCGAGATCTTCACCTGCCCATGGCCGGCAGTTTTTCACAGTGACTTTCTTCAAAAGAGATCTGTCCACCTTTCCCAACATTGACTCGCCAATGTTGGGACAGGAAGAAACTTCCACCGTATCCAACTCAAGCCATTTAACACCACGAAAACCATCCCTGCTGGAGGACGATCCAGTAAATTTTGGCAACTCGTCCAGAATTAGGGTTTTCACACGAGGGAACACAACAGTATTTGCACTTGTTGTTCTTTCTTTTGTTTCTCTTTTCCCAGTATGCTCTTTGATGGAGGAAAGTCTTTGGGTCATTGATAATGAAAAACTGAGAAAAAAATGGAAATGGAAAAGGGGAAATGTAATAAGCACAGAGAGACGAAGTTATATAGAAGAAGTTAACCATTACAATGAAAAGAATATCCCTAGACATACGCACCTCTTTCCACTCTTTTTCTTTTTTTTTGTTGGGGGGGGGGGGGACACATTCAGTCAGCTTAGCTGATTCAAACCGATCAGGGTCAATTTACGCCCACCTTAGTTGCATTTTGCAGAAAGTTTTCTATGGAAATATAACCCCCCTTACAAAACCAAATAATTAAAAAAAAAAAAAGCTAGAGAATTATTGAAGTATACATTTGCACTTTAAATTGTGAATATTTGATTCATTTGATTTGATCCTCATATTAATATTGAGGAAGAAGTTATAATGAATTTCATATAATAGTATTCCTCTGATCCTTAATATTAAGACCTAATTATTGAGTTAGTTTTGGTCATAAATATAACACTCATTTATCATATTTATCAATTTTTTTTAAATTACTCCTACAGATATTCCCTCAACCATAATCAAGTAGAAAAAGAAGGGGGTATTAAAAAAGATAATTTTGATATTTTAGGAAAAAAGTGTCATATTTATTATAATTAACTAATTTATCTAACTTTCTTAATCTAATCAAATTAGTTAAATGAGTATTATATTAAGGACTTGAGGAGTATTTTCTTTTTAGCCAATATGACGTTTTAAAGTAATTCTTGCGTAAGAGTCAAGTGAGAATTAATATATCGCATAATAATTTTCCTAAAAATAATCAAATTAGACTCCCACTTCCCCTGTAAAATTTCCAAATAATGATTTTTATTTCTAATGAAGTGACTTCATTTCATTCTATCTTAAACTCTGGCATCCTAGAATTTGAAGCGCTTTCATTCTATTTATAAAGCAAATTATTATCAACTATGAAATAATATACTACCTAATGTAATATATATAATCCATGCGCGCGCGCACATAAGGCTATATATAATTAGACCCGTTGATTATTAATTAAAGACTACAAGAGTAAGATGCCAAACAAAAGACTAAAAAATAAATGAAACTAATTATATTTTTAATAGAGTAATAATTTTAATTATTACTTAATATACTTATGTGAAATATTTAATTACAACTATGTTTCAATGGAGTAAACAGTACTTGAAAATCATCCATTTCATCAATCATTCATATAAATAACAGAGAACACAAAACGTAGAATCAAGATTCGTGGTTGAATTTTCCTTAACAAAGTTCTATTGTTGAGAGTCAAAAGAGGAAATAAGAAGAGGGGGAGGGGAAATAAAAGACAGAGTGACGCAAATTTCCAGTGAATGCAAAAAGTTTCTAACAAGGAGGAAGAATTTACCCTTATCACTATATGATTGTCACCAAAGTGATCTTCTCGTCTCTGATGAACCAAGCCGGAGACACCAGCAAAACACAGCAATAGCAGAAGACTTTAATTTGTATAATGCAGAGGAGAAGCAAGAAAAGAAACTTTTTTTTTTTAAGAACTAAGAAAATAAACCACACAGGGTCGATTGAAGAACAGAGAAGAACAGAGGAGTATTTAGGGAATGAGAAAATTGATATATTTGATTGATTTGGCGTGGGAGTTGAAGGAAAAGGAAGCAGTGAAGAAGATGAAAGAAGAGCCGCGCACAAAGCCAAAACAATCTGATCAGGTCTGAAACACACAATCCTAGCTATCTCATAACGCAAAGAAGGCCAATATATGTGTGTTTGTATGCATGTACAGAGTTGATGATGGGGAAAGAAAGTATGTAGAGAGTAATTAAAGGAAGCAGAATTTGTCTTTTCTTCTAAAAATTTTTATACTATTTTTATAATAACTACATGATGTTAACGGTTAGTTATCTCAATAACCATGCTACCCGCCATGCTTAGATGAGATCTTAAGTTTAAACTTGGCATTGACGTGTTTGTGTGTGTGCGTATCTCCAAATTGTGTTAAATAAAGAAAATGATAACCATATTATCCTTTTTTTATCATTACAATATTACATACGTATAAGATGTGAATATGTGATACTATCCACAGGTTTTATTTAAGTATTATCAGATCTAATCAAAGTTTATAGTATCTTCTTTATTGAAAAAATCCAAATTATATTAAAATTATATATATGAAACTCTTAATTCATTATTACTTTGCTAAAATTTCTTTAGTGTTACGTTGTGATTTTAGAGATGCAGTAGTAATCAGAAAATGATATGCTTTAAATGAGTATTATACATGGAAAAAAATGTTTTAGTTTTATCATTAACTTTACTTAAAATTTCATTTTCACCTCACATTCATTTTCAATTTAATCTATAATTAAAAATTTTAAATGTCTTTTAATTAATTCATTAAAAATATTATATGGTAAATAAATATCAGTGTGCAGCAAGAGTATGTACCAATCAAATCAAACTTTCAAGTCAACAATATATGTTTGCCCACCTTAAATCCAAACTTTCACCAAATTAATGTCCCTAATTTCTCATTTTATTTTTTTATAAAATTTCTCTCCTTTTCTGAGCCAATGTAACCTCCCCCTTTAGAGATTTCAAAGCAAAAATACCAAATTTCATCACCAAGCAAACTAACGATTCTTCACTATTGCTTGGCACCAATTTTGCCCTCTCTCTTTTTCAGTTTCTTGTTTTTTTTCCCTCTTTTCTTTAATTTCACTTTATTCTTAGACAACTATAATTTGCCCTTCAGCCAAATCGCTTCCCTATTTTTTTTTTCAAGCATCATTTCCTTACTTTATGGTCCGTCTCCCAAAATATTGTCTCATCCAGAAATTTTTGAACTAAGTTTCCTTCTTTTCCTTACTTTAATTTCACGTTATTCTTTTTTCTTCCTACTTTAGAGAGTCATGCACTAACATTATTAAATTATAAGTGAAAGTACATATGTGACCTCTCACATATTTTTTTTTTTAAAAGCTTATATATATCCATTGTATTCTTTAAAGCAAGATATATTTCAAAAAAGAAAAAAGCGCAATGGAAAGAGAACTGATTCGAGAATAGTCAATAGAACTCTTTAGTTTAAGATTGTCCACATAAGAAGGTTCCATTTTTCGATTGATTATTTTCTTCTTGTAGAATTTTTCCCCGCTTTTTTTCACATAAATATACGGATCACGCTTCACCGAAGACGAGGGCAAAAAATAAAGAAAGAAAGAATGTTCACTCGTGAAAATTTAAGCCCTCTCTTGTTAAAAAAAAGAAAAGAAAAGTACTGTATCGTTTCATGTCATAAGATATAAAAGAGGCATTTCATACGTTATTTTTATACAAAGTATCAATTTGATCTCTTTACTTTATCAATTATATTTTTATTTTTTTAATCTTAAAATTATCTTAAATGATAATTCTTTTATAGCGATAATATATGTTTTGAAAATTAAATTTAATATGTTAATATTTGATAATGTTTTATCAACATTCAAAATCTCAATATGATATTTTTATTAACAATTTTAGGCTAAAAATATTTTTTTAAAATGTAAGAAATAAATTAAAATCTTGTTCAAAATAAAAAAACTAAAAATATACTTTAGTCTGTAAAAAAAAAAGTCACTTAATTTTTGGTGTAGAATCTAAACTATTAAAATTAACAAGAGTGATCATCACTCTTTTGATCCCAATGCTTTCCCTGCACTAATCAAAAGCCTCTCTTCAACATTCAGAACAGATATTCTTATCGTTTTCCAAGTGACGTAGAAGAATACAATGAAAGTGAAAAGTTTCTTGATTAAATTAATTGAGTTTACTTTTATGAGGCGCCAATGCTGGACATTCTGCCTCACTACTTTCAGTGCTTGCCATAAGGATAAATAGCATGATACTTATTAAATCTCAGCATTTAAATTTAATATGAATGGCTGTGATTTATATTTAATATTTTTATTTCTAGAAATTTTTTTTTAATAGGTACATAATTCAAAATAAATGGAATCTTTTAATTGTAAGTTTTGTAGAAAATAAATTTTTATTTAAAATTTATTAGTTGAAAATTTTACATCTAGACTATTAAAATTAATTTTGAATAATTTAGATTTTACTACTATTATGAGCACTGAAACTGATTTATTTTTTAGCAGCTTTGGTTATTGGGGCATATTTTATGCTCATAATAATGATAAACATGGAGTGGTTATCTTAATCTAAGTCATTATATTGATTTTGAATTGTTCAGATTGAATTTAAACTTTTGACATACTTTAAATAATATTTTATTTTAATAGATACAAAATTCAAAATAAAAATAATCTTATCACTAACATTTCTTTAAAAAATAAATTTATTATTAAAAAATTACATGTTAAAAATTTTAAATCTCAATTATTCATATCAAATCTTAAATAGTTTAGAACCTAGATTGCATTGTACGGACAAGTACATGGTGCTGAATGAGGACCCTTGGTTATTGCTTGCCTTCATGCTCATGCATGCCCTGGCCTCCTCCCAAACTTGTACCAGACAACGTTTCCATCTCTTACGCTCTGAACATGTCGATCCCAACAAATCCAACCACAGACATGCGAGAAGTACTGCATCAACTCGAGATGTTTAAGAAGACATTCGACGAAACCTTTGAAGATGTTTCATTAGCCAAAAATGTCATCAAGATAGTGATTGACCGCACGATGAGTCAATTCCCACTTTCCAAACAGGGGGAACTCAAACTGGGCAACAATTCTTGGAGTTGGCTAATCGCTGTGCCAAAATTGAACCCTCTGGTTTCTGTTCTATCCTTGGCGAGCTCGCTCAATTAAACGAAAAGCTGCACCAACTCGCCGCTTATGATGAGGTCGCTCAGGACTATTCTGCCCAAGCTTTATCTGAAACGGCACTGGCAATCATAGACAAAGCAGACGAGGATCCACTCATGAAATGTCTTTGTGAGAGTTATGAACTCTTCCTCCGTCTTGATGAGCTTAAGCATAACCGGGGAATTTGCTTGTCCTTGGCAGTTTTCCCCAATAATGATGTTCTCAGGAAAAGGCTTCTTATTTATTGGTGGATTGGGGAAGGGTTGGTCCGGCACGGGGAAGAAGGCGAAAGAATATTCCAAGAGCTTTTGGATTTGGAATTACTTATACCCCATGACAAGTGCCCAAGAGTGAGTAAATGTCAAATTTTCTCTTGGTTTCGTTACATGTTGATCTCGGTTGCCCTGAAAGAGAAGCTTTTGAAATTAGATCGGGGCAAGATACCACGTTTTGATTCCACCCATTCTCAGCGTACTTGTTTGATCGATGATCGCTTTAATTCGGAAATTGAGACAGAATCCACACCGGCGACTTCGAGGACCATTTTTAATGTAAACGATAGAGATCTTCATTTTCGACACCAGTGGCTTGCTACACTGAAGACATTAGTGGTGCTTCAGCTTGGTCGTTGGTAGGTTTCTCCCACCCATCACATCGAAGTTCGAGATGATTCGTTCCTAAAGGGTTTGAAGACCCAAAAACTGCTCAAGTATCTCAGCCTGCGTGGGATTTCTAGAATAACTTCACTTCCTGACTCCATTAGAGAATTGGCCAGCCTCGAAATCCTGGACCTCAAGGCCTGTCACATTCTAGAAACCTTGCCTGCTGCCATTGCATCACTGAAAAAGCTCACACATTTGGATGTATCAGAATGTTACCTGTTGGAGAGCTTGCCAAAAGGCCTCGACAAGCTCACTTCGCTGCAAGTATTCAACGGATTATGATCACAAAAGAATCCCATTAGAATATGGCATCTTCGAAGCCTGAAGAATCTCAAGCGATTGAGTATACATATAGGGAGTGAGGCTACCATCCAGGGAGAGGAATTCGAGAAGTTGAAGGACTTACAAAAGGTAAAGTGCCTGAAAAAATCTTGGGGTAAAACGGATGTTGAAGAGTCTTAAAAAATGTATTTTAAGTTTTTTTAAAAAAAAAATGTATGAGGAACTCGCACGCTCGAATAAATTCATGAACAAGGACTATTGACTATATTTACTTTATTATGGACTATTTTGGTTTCGTTATTTATTGCTCTTGTTTTGAAACTTTAAAAAATGTAACGAAAACTTTGCTGACTACTGGTAATGGGTTGCCGGCATCAAAGCTTTGGTGGCTGTTCTCTAGCAAGGGTACTCAGGGGCTTTTTTTCTTTTAATTAAAAAAAAGTGAAATGGGTCGACATTTTTTGAAAAAGAAAACTCAAGATTTTAAAGGTCATTTGACAACATTTTCAAATACCAAATTAGGCCAATTGGTCGGTATTTTTAATAGGGATAAGGTGGAATTTCGACTATGATCTTATTTTTCAAATACAATTTTATTTATAATTTTTTGAGTGGTGCAATTTTGACCTTTTTTTTGTGTGTGCAATTTTGACCCTAAAAGGCTAAATTGCACCCAAAAGATTAGCAACAAAATTGCCCCACCGAAAGAATTAGGATAAAATTGCATTTGAGAAATAAGATGAAGGTGAAAGGTGCACCTTAACTTTTTTTTAACATTGAAATTACGAATTTATCATTTACAAATTTTAAAGGTATTTTTTGTTATTTTTTTAAATGAGATCTTTAATGCCTAAAAATCTTTTTGTTTGATCCTTCGTGAGAACATAATCTACTTACTTGATTTTTGTTATTTGACATGACATGGGCACTTGTGCTACTCACATTTTTGCATCTTAAAAAAATGTGGTTTTTTATCCCTTGCATTATTAACAATTTGAATGTGATAAAATCAATTTCACCCACAAATGTTCGATTCCATATTTTCAGGAAAAAATTTATATTGAAAAATAAAAAAATTGTTCAAAAATATGTTCGTTATATGTTTTTAAAAATAAAACACTAGAATACTTTTTTTATATGTTTGACTATTCTTTGTTCTGCAAAATTGGAAAAAAAGGGGAGAAATTATTTTTTTTAATTAATGGCCATTGTATTAATAAAGAAAATATTTTTTAACCTGATCATTTTATTTATAAACCATCTCCTGTCCTCAATATAAGAGCTCATTTAACTTTTATTTTGGTTCTAAATATAAGAATCTAATATATTTTGTCTCTCATATTTCTCTATTTTTTTAAGAGATTTCTTGTAATAATGATAGTTCTAACCAATATACGTGATTAGCGAATTAGGCCAAGTGATTGATTTGGTATTTTTAATAGGAAAAAGAAAAAAAAACTTATTCAAAAATATGTTCGTTACGTGTTTTTGAAAAATAAAACACCAGAATACTTTTTTTATATGTTTGACTACTCTTTGTTCTACAAAATTGGAAAAAAGGGGGAGAAATCATTTTCTTTATTAATGGCCATTGTACTAATAAAGAAAATATCTCTTAACCCAATTATTTTATTTATATATCACCTCCGGCCTTAATATAAGAGTTTATTTGACTTTTATTTTAATCTTAAAAATAATACCTCAATCTACTTTGTCTCTTATATTTATTTATTTATTAAGGTAGTCTTTGTAATAATGGTAGTTCTAACCAATACACTTAATTAGTAAGGATATTTTAAGAAAATAATACTTCTTTATTACAAATAACTAACTTAACTAATTTTTTTGATATACTTAAATTAGTCAACTAGCTCTTATATTAAAGACGGGAGATAGTATTTTTTAAAATGACAATTTAAATAGAATTTTTAATATTTACATATTAGTGTTTTAACTTTTTATATTAAAGGGGAGGAAGTAACAAGAGAGTGGCAGCATCAACCCTTTTCAGTTTTTCTCTTTATTCTACCTTCATGACACGATATGCGAGTCGGGATGGATCCATTCCGTGTGCAGTTAACTGATTATTTTCCATTCCAGGCTTATGGCCTTAGCATCAAGGAAAGCAGCAGGGATACACACGGATATATAGAGAGGGAGAGGGAAGGACAAAGGTGCGCAGGAGAGATGGGGGGAAGCGTGATTTCCATCATGCTGAGCAGCGGGCAAATCACAATTTACATGATCTCCAAATTCTGGAAGATATGGGACGAGTGGGATGTGCACGGAGTCATTCTCCTCAATCTCTCCCTGCAGATCTTTCTCATCTTCTTTGCTTCTTTAAGAAAGCGCTCAAAAGGCTTCTTACCCCGCGCAATCTGGTTAGCTTACCTTCTTGCCGATTGGGCTGCGAGCTACTGTGTTGGGCTCATCTCCAATAATCAAAAAGCGCACTCAACCAAAACCACAAGAGACCACCTCACTGCATTTTGGTCTCCTTTTCTTCTGCTTCACCTTGGGGGTCCAAACACCATCACTGCTTATGCTTTGGAGGACAATGAGCTTTGGCTCAGGCATCTTCTGGGTCTCATTTTCCAGTCAGGCACGGCTGCTTGCATCTTCGTTTTAACAGTTCATGACAACTCATTGTGGTTCCCAACCCTTTTGGTGTTTGTTGCTGGACTAATCAAGTACACTGAGAGGACTCGTGCTTTGTATGTTGCATCATTCAATGCTTTCAGGCAATCCCTAGTTCCAGACCCAGGCCCCGATTACGGAAGGTTCATGGTGGAATTCTATTCTCGGAGGAAGGCCAGACTTCCTGCTCAGATTGTCACCATCTCGAAGCTTGGGAGTAGCAGTGATGCAGGCGGCAAAAATGGGAGCCAGGGACCGAATGAACTTGAGGCGGTTCGGAAAGGTTTCTTCTTCTTCCAAAAGTTCAGAGGTATTATTGTTGACATGATCTACAGCTTTGATGACCGTCGCGAGATCCGACGGCATATGGAAAACAAAACGCCAGGGGAAGTTCTCGAGGTGATAGAAATCGAACTTAATTTCATGTATGAATCTTTCTACACCAAAGTCACGGTAGTACGCAAGTGGTTCGGGTACTGCAATAAATTTGTTTCCTTCACTTTTGTTCTGTTGGCTTTTGGACTCTTTATTTTAGAAGAGAAGCGTGGTTTGGACAAGTTTGATACAGGTGTAACTTACGCTTTGTTATGCGGCGCTCTGGCCTTAGACACCATAGCTTTCGTCATGCACTTTTTCACTGAATACACAGCTACTCTTTCCCTGGAATCTTAAGATTTGAAAGGAGTCTCATTGTTCCAGCGATCCAAAATGAGCTTGCTCAGAAAGTTCAATGACAAAACGTTGGTGCGTTTCCTTGGACGGAGGAAACCAAAATGGGCGAAAATTAAGGAGCAGCCTGATTATGGACTGTCCACTCCAGTACTATATCGCAGATGATGGGGATCAATCTCAGGTTACAATTTGATGAAATATTGCCTGGAAATGCCTGTTCCTCAAAAGATTCCTCGTAACCGTAAGAAGGACTCCTGCATCTCTCAATTTCAAGAAAAATGCTTCAAAATTGTGCTATCCGCACAAGGTAGTTTTTATAAAGTGGCCCAACTTTGTGGCTTTCGAGATTTTATTGACCAATGGAGGTTCAAGGAGGACAAGCCGTTGCCTAGAGGCCTTTGGATATATGTCTTCGATCAGCTGAAAAAAAGATCCAGCTATATTTGCGACGAAGATGCAGAGATGGTCCGAAGAATGTGTTTCGTAAGAGGCGAGTGGGCTATCAAGGGAGCAAGATTACATCCGTTTATGCCTTTTGTGGACCCCGGGGAAGTGGCTTTTGATCAAAGCCTCATATTGTGGCACATTGCTACTTGCCTCTGGTACTACAGCGAGAAAGACGACGGGAAGCATGTGGGAGAAAGAGATTACAGCATGATTCTGTCAGACTACTTGATGTACCTTTTAACAGTGCAGCCTGCGATTACGTCTTATGTGGCAGGAATTGGACAAATAAGGTTCCAGACAACATGTGAGGAGGCGAAAAGGTTCTTCAGCAGAAAGAGCCTGGACCTGATAACGGATCGGAGGGAGAGGCTGAAGGAAGCTTGCAACGATGTGGCATCCGAGCATCTGAAGAGCGAATGGAGCATATCACTCTTGTATGACGCATGTAGGTTGGCCAAAGAGTTAAAATCAATAGATAATAAATGGGAAATTATAGGGGCAGTGTGGGTGGAATTGTTGTCATTCGCCGCAATTCAGTGCAAACCCACGGCGCATGTGAAGGTGTTGAGTGAGGGTGGCGAGCTTCTCTCGCTTGTTTGGCTGCTCATGTTTCATTTCGGTCTCGGCAGCTTCCAGTTCAAAGACCCCAAGACTAAACTCTTGATAGGAAAGGTGGTCCGTTAGACTTTTTGATTTTATCAAATCAATTTCTACCATGCATCTTGGATTCATATCTCTGGCCTATAGGAAAAGCCATTGTGTTTGTTCACGTTTTTAACATTCCTATACTCTTTTTTTTTTTTTTTTTTTCATTGAAAACATTCCTATACTCTCTTTTGCTTCTACTCATAAATATAAGATACTTGTCGACTAATTAATGCAATATTTTTCAATTTCATCTTTACTGAATACAATAAAAAAAAATATGTGAGAAAAAATGTACATAACATATTTTTTCTAATCCCCTTCTTTAGTAGAGGCAAATATGAAAATTTTATCAATTTAATGTATTTTTTTTTATATGTGAGAATGTAGTACAAATAACTTACATGTAAAAACAGAGTGATACGTATATATGAATTCATTTTACTTTTTATTATATATTAGTTTTTCTTGTTTTAGTTAAAACAAATCATTCATGTTGGTGTGAATGCAAAAGATATTTCCACCATTCTCTTTTTTTTTTTTTTGATAAAATCAAACTATGCATTAATGGACAAAAGTGAAGGATACAAACTGAGAGAGCATGTCCCTTACATCCAGCAAGAGGTTGGAAGAGTCCATAGGATAACACTCTGGCTTAGCAACATTCGAATATGAGTAAATTTAGTTAAGTTACAAATCAAGGAAAATGACGAAGTGTGCAAGACAACAGATTGATTGAATAAGAAAGTAAGTGATTTCAAAGTGGCACGTGAGAAAAATTTTATCTCGATCTGTATGAAAGTATTTTTCACCCAAACCAAACGCCCCTTATGTCTGTAATGTACTTTCTGATGACTGGATTTTATTATTCTTACAAAATTTACGTTTAAAGTCTTTACTTGTGAGAAAAACGTAGCAATTTAATTCATTTCATGACCAACAAAATTTCAAATCCAAATTTAAGATTTTCGGCCCGTATGTACCCAGGCGCGTTGGGGAATTTTGATGCCAAAATCAAAATAAAAACAAATTTAAGAGGCCAAATATTATATTAATTTGTAAAATTATCCGTGTCGTATGCTTTTATATTGTAGCACTGGTTCTTTCCAATCATGCCTCGCAACATGACTTGGGAAATCAATGCAAACAAAACCGGAAAAAAGTTAACAATGTTGCAGAAATACAAATCCCACATTCAAAAGTAATAAGAGACATAACATATTACAATGTGTATAAAAGCTGTTAATTTTGCCAATCAATCAAGAAATACAAAGTTATTTTAGTGAAATGGAAAAGCGCTGGCAAAGACGGTACCAAATTAAAGTCAATGAACAACATCAACAACGACAGTGAATAGAAAGCCACAAAGCCCACGGTGATGAAAGGAAATGGCCGATGGGGAGCTTTCAAATAATGACCAAAGCTAAAACTGATGCAGAACCTCCAAGCAGAGCTATGATGAATGTTAGAATGTGAAGAAGGCGAGTGCTCTGGGGAGACAGCTGAACAAGAACTGTTCTGATCACCAACGTTAGATGGTAACGAACAATAATCAAAACCAGAAACATCATCATAAGTTTAATGTGCTGGTTTTTGATCAGAGGGTTGGCTTCTGTGTCTACCGCGTTCTTGGCTGCAAGTAAGGCAATCAACACGGTTGAGAATTTTTCCATGATCTCTCGTAATTCTTTGAAGAGTTTGACCACTTGCTCCCTGAGCATATTCATTCAGAAAATCTTTAGAAATGTCAGATAGAAAGACGGTAACGATCTAAATTTTGTTAAATGAAACTAAAAACAGAGCAACTATGTTCAATGACAACATCTGTATCTAGCCCATACGTAGCATGAATATATATTAAGCAAACACAAGATATTCCTGTTTTCTTCAAGAAAAATTCGACGGGAGAAAAAAGTCAATCATCTCAGGGAAATGCTGAACATGATTTCTTACCTATGATGCAGAGAAACCCAGATTTCAGTCACAATCTCCAAAATGGTTAACGGGAACATAAAACAGAGACGCATGAGGGAGAGAAGAAGCAAGTAAACGCAGAGGAGGAGGATGAAGAGTGAAAGATGATATAGAAAACGCAAATCTCAGTTACAGTCTCCGCAAGATCAACAAGAATATAAAACAGAGAATGATGGAGTGAGAGAGGAAGCATGTAAAAACAGAGCATGATGAAATGTATGTCAGGTTCTTGCATAGTTTTGTAAACGCTGAACACTGCGTACCTCATTGAAGCAGAACTAGTAGAAACAAAGGGAATGGCTGGTTCTGGTTTTGTGTCTTGCAAAAAGAATGAACACGTTTGAAGAGCTAAGGAAATGGCCACATTATATAGAAAGAGAGAGAGGGCGAAAGTGAAATGAAGTCAAAGGGTGGACGGGTTGCTCTGCATTTTCTGGGTCGGGGTATTAAACGTTTTATGCGCCAAGTTTAATACGTGTCCAGGTGAAACGCTTGCCCCACTCGCCTCCCCCCCCCCCCGGGGGGAGAGACGAACCAATGGTATATTTTGATTTTTGACCATTTAGAGTCTCATTCCCACCTGCACGGAGATGTAACCCATGAATCAATCCGCGAGCAGATTAAAAATTTTTAAAAAAATACAAATAAAAATTGGAAAAACTGCCCCAATGACTTGATAAATTTTTATGGCCAAATATCTGAGAGAGTACTCTACAAATTTTGTATGCATAGAGCACGAGTATTCTAATTTAGCTCCTCTACATTGATAAAATTGTCAACGGGAGACTTTCGCCAGTTTTTTTTCAATTATTTTATTTAATTCAATTCTCAAATTATTCTATCACTACTCATTCTATGATCCTTAATATGAGAGACAATTAAAAATTGAATTTGATTCCAAATATAAGATTCCAAATTTATTTTATTTTCTAAATTGATAACTGTTTTTCTTAAGATATTATTATTGATTGCAGGGGTATCCCACCAAGAATAATTAAACATGATATTTTAAAAAAAACTAACACAAATTTATTATAAATAATCAATTTAACTAATATTTTTAATGTTTTTAAATTAGTAATCTACCTCTTATATAAATTTTGCAAAAAAAAAAAAAACCTCTAACATAAATTGTAGGAGGCAGTACTCAAATGAGAGATATATAACCACCAAGCTTCAACTCGCTCCTTCTGACAGGCATAGTGCGAGTCTTTATTTTTGTGTATTTATTGAAGAATTTCGATCCGATCGACCTCATTAAGCTATTGGACGATTTTCTATCCTACTAATGAATTAAAGGCCAGTGCAACTTTTTTATATTTCTTGAATTAGTAAACCAGTATATATAAGCTACTGCTGCCTAGCTCTCCTCCTCATTAAGATTTAGTATAGACAGTTATATTTTGTCACAGATTTAATCAGCTTAACTAATTTTATTTGCCGGGTGGTGTGTGTAGGCGTAGCTAGTTATTGGTACTAAGATTATATTGCAGGAAATAGTTAAGAAACCCTGTGGTCGAATCTTGTGGCTAATTTTATTGTCGTCGTTTCTCTTAATTTAGACTATTTGTCGTGATGTGCAGTTGAAGAATCCCCCTCCATGCCCAGTCCTCTGCTTCCGGAGGCGAGATTTCATGTTCAGAGGGAGAATGTGAGATAGAAGATTATAAAAGAGATGTATATTTTGTTCTGGTTTAATTTCTAGACTCTTCCAATCTATTTTAAAAATATTTCCCCCGTTTCTGTTCATCTGTCTGTAATCCAAAAAAATATACCAACTCAGGAGAAAACAAATCCATATGCTATGTGTTAAAAGTTTTTTTTCCCTTTCTCAGTTTTGGCCTTCATTTAACTTTACACTATTTTAAATATTAACTGCCTCTATTGATGTCATGCATCCATCTAAAAATAAAATTATTGGAAACAAATAATAG